GCCTCCAAATTGTTGATTAACTACGAATGTGTAGTAATTTAAGGAAGTATTTAAAAAATTAAATATTATAGAATATATTATAGAATATATTATGTGTGTTGTATAAAAATTCAGTTCAATTATACATATGTCCGTAAATACTGTTTCTGAATATATATACAATAAGCATAATGAACGAAGACGGAAATTGGTTAGATAGACATCTATTCTACAAGATAGATGTAAAAGTTCTGTCAATTTTACATAATATAAGCATAGTTATTTTCTATGTGCAAAGAATTATTATTCTTTAGAGTCTATGAAATTTACATTCATTAATATATGTTAAACCTTTTAATTGTAACTGATTCTCAAGCGAAATATTCCCAAAATTAAAATGAATAAATCACTCTTAGCATCTATATTTATAATTTTATTTTTGTTTACATGATAAACATTTTTGCAAATCTTTTACAGTGTAAAATAATTTACTTTTAATATTATTTTTCTTCAATTCAAGTCAATATTATGTCGGATATCTTCAAGTTTAAATGTTGGCAAAAAATGATTATTTTTTACATATTTTTGAGCAACAAAACTTCTGAGTCTAATATATGCAATTTAAATTATAAAAGTAAAATAAGTTTTTTTCCTTCACCGATTTCGTAATTGTCATTAAGCCTCATTAATAGTAGCATGCTAAATTCCATCAGAAGTTAGCTATATGAAGATATATTTGGTAAATTTTCTAATTTTAATTTTCTAGTTTACGAATGTGAAATCTTAAATTCAAACACTTCATCCTCTATTTTTAGGCATACTTTTGTATGTATAATGAAATACGTTGTGTGACATTACGTTAACAAAACAATCGAAAATATATACAGATAATTATATGCTAATGATAAACATATGTACATACTTATATATATATATACTTACTACAGGCTGTACATATATATACATACATATATAGGAAAATTATGTTTTTAAACATATATCTACTAGAGTTCATGTAATTAATTTATGCATAAATAAAATCAATAAAAATTTATTATATGAATGCATAAAAAAATGTTTAAAATCTATTAATTCTGAACTAAAAGCTCCTATAATTATGGAATTAATCTTTTTCCTTAATTAACACAATTTAATAAATTTAATAATTAATAAAATTAATTCCAGTTACATAAATTTTAATCCTTACAAATGCGACATAGTTGAAAATTAAAAATCTTCAAATTATGTTTGAAAAATTGTCAATTTGATTGATGAACTAATTCATTTTCCTCTATTAATTTGGACATTTTTAAATTCTAGTATAAGAATAATTAAAACGTTAATTTTTGAATAAAGCAGTTAGCTGCTATCAAGGCGCTAAAAGAATATCTTTAATCGACGTTATGTGTTGGGAGTATAATGGAATGACGCTTCTACCTTGACTGCACAGTCCGCTGGCTTTCATAATTGCTAACGCATAAACCAAGATTCAGTGTTTCTCTTGGATAAAAATAGATTATCCAAATGGACATTGACCTTGCTATTGCGTAATTGAACAATTTGATGACGCAAGGATGCGAAATATTATTAGAGAAGCAAGAAGATTCTCCCACCGATACTATTATTGTGAGCGCAGATTGTATAAGAGTAAGTATAATTTTATTCTCATCCAATAAGTAAAGTTTCTTGTTTAAACGATAAATAAAATACAACGAAAATAGAATATGTTTAAAGTATAATTAAAATATTTTGTAATAAAATTACTTTTTCCTTTTTTGAAATAAAGACTTTTTACTGTTTCAGTAAAAAGGTCTCAAATTGATTCAGTCATAATTTATTTCCTCGTTTGAACAAATTTGAGGTAGAGCATTTATTGTTACACTTATCCGATATTTTGCACTAAAAACGACATTTTATGACGATATGATAATATAATTATACTATAAATATAATAACTATATAAATATAATATAGTTTTAAAGTATAATGATTTTAAAGGAAAATTTTAAAATATTTGACCACAGTTCATCTACTGTGTTATTCTACATTCTAAACAATATTTACCTCAGATTCAATGTATTTATAAATGTAGTATTATTATATTATCGAATAATAAAATTAGAAATAAAATTAAAAACTGTAAAACAATAATAAACTATACATTCTATTTCTACAATTTTAATTGATATTTGTTATATCTGATCTGTATTTGTTACAAAATTGATAAAGAGATTAATTAAAATGAAAAGTTTCGACTCACCGTTTTTAGAATTTTTGTGTTTTTGCTTTTTAAATTAAAATTTTATCACAGGCATTGCGCAGGTAAGAATACGCGTACAGTGAATCTATTCTCTTGGATCAACGTAGCAAACTGTTAGTTTACTCTTAAGTTGTCGTTTAACATACACAGAATACGTAAGAGTGTATGCGTGTTTACTATGCAATGACAGAGCGTATATGCTTACGTTGTGCATTGCTTACGTAAAAATATCACTATATAGCTTATATTAATTCATATTCATTTATTCTACCTATACACGTTCTCTCAAAGAGTGGTAAACATCATGATGTAAATATTATTTAATTGTAAGTTCCTATTTCAATTTTAATAGAAATTCTTTATTCCGTGACCTTTTATATAAATTCAATTGTTTTATTCAATAATTTGTACGTTCACGGCAGTTGAGAGATTAATTTGATTATAAACAATCACCGACATTTCGTTATTAATATATTTATTACAAACTACTAAAAACAAAACATAAAAGTGTATTTATAATTCAAATTTAAGAAAAATATCAATGTGATACAAAAATAGCTAAAAATAAAAATCAACTTAAATATTTAATCGAAAAGTCCATGTTTCCATTACAATACATATTTATATTTGTATCTCTTTCTATCTTATGTTATTTCTTTTATACATTTAATTTTATAATTAATATTGAGAATTTACCATTTGCATTTTCATTTCAAAAGAAATAAAATAGGATTCTTGTTCTTAATTTCAGCTAACTGACTGTAATTGAGTTGATTGTAACGAATCATTAATACTGCGTACTTATTTTGAATGGAAAATATTTATTGTTATCTTTATCTGAAATAAATTTTACGAGTAAATTTCTGTAGGAATTAGATTATAAAATTACAAGTATAACGTAGTATAACGTTAGTGTAATATAGATATTATTGTTTACTGCAGAGATATATAACTATTATGTATACATGATATTTAAATTAACAATAAATATGATAAATTAAGTATACTATAATATTTAAACTATTTATTTAAAAAGTAAAAAAATATAAATATAGTAGTAAAACGCATATATAGTAGTTTATTTAAAAAGCAAAAAATATATAACATATATCATATATATAAAAAGTAAAAAAAATTTAATTTGCGAAACTTCTAGAATGACTCAGAATCTTACCTTGCCTTTCATTACTTATCGACTTCATTGTTTCATAGTTAGACGGCGCCAATGAGGACACAAAAATACAAGTTTAATCTGTGACTGCTGATACGCATGCAAAGGTATATACATACATAGCAGCAATCGCACATCTGTGCCTAGTCACATTACGATTTAGACCTCCCATGAGTTTAAAATCTACATTCGGTTATTTCAATTAATACCAATTCAAATTAAATTGACTGAAACAGTTTGTAAATTGTTGAAGCATAGATTATTGTTTCATATTTTTTTGCTTATGTATGCATTTATATTTCAACCATAAATGATTATATTAATGAAGCAAAAAGTTCATTCTGATATTAAAACTACCATAAAAAGCGCTATTTAAAACGAGATCTTATAATTTTATGACAGAGCAAACATATTGTTTTTAATAAAAAACATTAATTGAAATATATATTTTAATAAATGATAATTGTTATTTATGTACATTTAATCCAATAGAAAAATGTATACGTAAACACGTCTATAGACATTAAAGTTATTGTTAATATCATTAATTGATAAATACGAATCATGAAATTTCATTTTTTCTGTTTTGCAAAAATTATTATATGTACAATTTAATTAATAACAAATTTAAATAATTTTAAAATTTGCATAAATTTATCATAATTTTAAAACTCAATTTAACCGTGTAAAAAATAAAAATAGATTAAATAGAATTAATTAATTAATTAATTAATTAAATAGAATAAAAAAGAACAAAACTTAAAAAATAAAACTCATTCCAGTATTTTTCAATTAATTGTATTTAATGAATTTTAAATATATTAAAATTATCAACTTTTTGTTTTTTGAAAAATTTTTAGTATTTAATGAATTTTAAATATATTAAAATTATCAACTTTTTGTTTTTTGAAAAATTTTTTAATATTGAGCATTTGTGAACAATATTTACGTCATTCGAAATGTTAATGATAAAAATCATCATGATTATAATCTAATAATTGATACTATAATTTAACAATCAGAGAAATACAAAATACAATTTTTATGTATCATATATTGCACAATTTTTACACATTCTTTCTCTATATATATATATGTATTATATATATACATATATATATCATAAGTCAATATTGAAATTATACTTTGATCATAAGAAATGAAATTCATCAAAGTTGAACTTATCGAAATAAGACATTAAATAAGATTTTTGTTAGGGTATTAAATGAAATGTTTAAAAGTCATAAGACACAGGAAGAACATGGTTCATGCAAGTTTGTTCTTCAAACATGGCAGCAACAAATATACGGGAAATCATGTGACCTTAATCGTGAAGTACAGCTAAGATAATTGTGTACAGCAAAAGAATTCGTATATAAGAAACAAGTTGCAGTTAATAGAAATACACCCGCAAATATTCATATCTTGAAAGACAATAGGAAACGATTCAACGGAATGTCCTTAGTTGGCGTGCCATTGGAGAAATTCCTCTTACAAAGTAGAATAGCGGATTCAATACCGCTTTAACGAAACAGTTGACTGCATTTTACAATTGGAAAAGTGTTAACGGATGTAGAAAGATCAACTCACCTGTTCTTGTTCCTATTTATTGGTACTCCACGGAGATGGGCTGGAATAACTACACACACGTAAAATCGTATGCAATAATGCAACTACGATAAAACGAAACCTAGCGTTTCTTCTGCGTGCTTACAGCAGATTAATGCATGGCTACGTAGCCTGTTGCACTCGTGCCAGGCAGTACAGAGTGGGGGATTAGTGAGGCCCCAGGGTCGATTCAGCGATTGGTCGGTTGGTCCCTAACGGAGTTGTTCAGGTAGAAGTTCAAGTAACAGGTGATCGTCGTTGTGCCATCTGTCGAAGTTGAAGCTACAACTTTATAGAAGATATCTGAATTCTTTCGTGAAAATAATTTAAAGGCAGCAGTAGAATCATACACAGACAAGGTATAGGAAAGATATGATATATATAATATATTTTTGTATCACACGTTCGAGGGGTTCGGACTTACCTTACCATTTTCGTGTCACATCCTGCTGTACCGATTTAGGCATGATTTGCACAGTAGCACCACTAGTGATAGGAATTAAAATCAAAAAATATATTGGCAATATTGCCGATTCTACACCGAAATTTCATGGCGAAACTTTATTAATGAAAGAATGTAATGATTTGAAACAATGACTGATGGAAATTTAAATGAAAAATTTACAATACATTTGGTTATTTATATTTAATCTAAAGTAAAAAAATTTGTTAAGATATATTTTTACTAATATCATAATTAGACGTGAATTAGATATGATTCTTATTTATTTTAGTATGTAGATTCACAGTCTAAATGAATCACGATATATACGTATATTTCTCTTATATACTTTGTAAAGGATTAAAATATCAAAAAAATGTTTTTAGCATAAAGGAATATATTATGTAATGTGAAATATTGCAGATCATCTAATGGGAGAAATTTCGTAGTCAAATTCATTTTTTAAAATTATATAATTTCTTTTTCATAGTAAACTGGTATTTGTTGAGATGAATTTTACGACTTGCATTTATATTATAAATTGTTAAAAATTACGTTATGAATTAGTGAATTATTTTGTAAGATAAAATTGAATCATTTTTTATATCAGGGAAATACAATAGCCGCGTCAAGTCAAAATAACTTGGCACTTGTGCAAAAATTAATAAATGATATGTGAGTGATTTTGTGAAGATTGAATGATACATTATAGCTATATTATATTATAACTCTATTGAGATTTTATATTTTATTATTCGAGAATTCAAAAAATTGTTCGTTTTCATTTTTCATTTACCTCTTTTCACTTGTCTTCATCGTCGTGTGGAATGAAAAGCACGTTGAAAAGACACAGATTTAGAATTTCCTGACGGAAGCATAGTTATTAAATAGTATCACGTACTATCATATAGTACTATCATATAGTACTATCGGTACTATCATATAGTTATTAAAATTAAGTGCTTCTTTTTTTATCGCTTCATATTCATTTTGAAATATCCTCTAATTTTTGTGAGCAGTGTATATAATACACAGAGATAAATAATACAGAATAGTCGCTATAATGTACATATAACAACTTTTATTTCTTTTTAAATATGTAAAATATTTAAAATTGTAAGATACACGAAGATTCAGAGTAATAATTATTTTCAATTTAAATTTCAATTTATATCTTGCGCTTTAGTTTATTTTACATCGGTTTTTTTAAAACCATGCATAATGGTTGTATCATCATACAATGCTTCGTATACTGAAGCAATGAGCAGATAAAATAAAATTTCCAAAATTTGTCATATGACCATAAAGTTAATTTATTAAAGTTATGTATATATATACATATATATATATACATATATATACATATATATATACATATATATACATATATATATATATACATATATATACATATACATAGAATTTTAGAAATTCATAATTGATTTAATCCTTGAGGTGTTTAATTCATACTAGAGTATCGTACAAATAATCTACTATACTTAAAATAATTTATTTATTTATTTATTAATTATTATTTATTTATTAGTGATCCAAAAACAATTTACAATATATACTACAATTTACTGAACAAATATATATATATATATATATATGTTTAAAGATGCATTTTTTAATTTATTATATATTCCTCATCCAATAATGAACATTTAAGCTTTTGATAATTCTAAGTAAACGAAAAATTAAAATATTCGTTGGAATGTTGAATGAAATATTAGAAAAAAAGGACAATTGCTAATAAAAATGTACTTTATTATAATATTTTATATTCAGATTCATCGTAGACGAGTACATACATATTTATTCTTATATAATCTTTAAATTTCGGAATGAATAATCTTATCTTACAAACGTATTTGTAATTGACGAAGACATCAACGTTGAAATCTCATGCATGGTTCAAATAAATTATGCAGGTTATAGTTCATTTACTTTCAACATTTATTTACAGTCTTTTAACAATATTTACGAACGAAAACAAGTTTATATAACAATTCATTTGGTCTTATTTTAAAACGTGAAGCTCCTACTTTGATTGTTATATGATCTTTTTTTATAAAATTATGTTTTAAATTATTGACAATTTTTCATTGTCATTGATATGTACAATAACTATTGTTCATCAATAGTATTGTTCCATCACAGATATATCTATACAATGTAAATGTACAATTTTTGAATAAACTGCAATTATCGAAGGAGAAAGACCATTAGGTCAAAAAGTTATTCGCTATAAGTTCCATCGATCTTTCCTTTGTGTGAAACATCTGTGGGGAATGCGCCAAAACGCGTGACATCATTTATGCGCCATATTTCGCCATGTTTCACTATGTTTCTTAGTTTGATGTATGGACAAGATTATTCTTAATAAATCATAAGTAGTGAGGTAAATGGAATTTTAGGAAATGATGTATGGTCAATATCCGAATCAATATATAAATTTAACCCTTACTTTCTTTTTTCTTCTAAAATAAATTAAATCTTTAAATTAAACGTCTTGTAATATCAACTACGTTCATAGTACGAATAATGATTTCAATTTAAGAGAAAAAAATACATTATAGTTCTATGGAATTTGAAATTTAAATTTAAATTTCTCACGTTGAAGATTAATGTTCGAAAATTGGAAACACAATCGTAAGGCAAACATTTGTGAGAGCGATTCTAACTGATTTTACAATTTCAAGATCTGGAGAAACAAATTTTTCTATTTTTAGAATCGATTGGAAATGTTTTCCTATTTTTACATTTTTTGAAATTTTAGAACGCGTTACAGTATATTATAGGCCTGGACAACTTCTCTGTCTCACGAACTCTTACTCTGCCAGTTCCTTCACCTAGGCCAGTTCTTCTGTGATGCGTGAATGTAAGTGACTATGGCCACATTGGGACTTAATATATATAAATACGCACGCCAGATGTAGAATCGAATGAGTGTAGGGATAGGTATGGTAGGTATGGAAGGATAAGACAAGTATAAATTGCGTATCGATAATTAAAGGACGTGTATACTTAAATTTATTTCTTGGATTTCTGGGCGACGGAGGGTGTTAGATGAAGTAAACTTGAACTACTTAGCTTGGATGATCTTGGTTCGATCTCCAAAGACATGCGATAGAGAGTATCGTCGTCGATCTGCAACGAAGGATCCAATAGGTAATTCAGAACTTTCATTACCGGTTCGATATTGTACGATCCCTGTTGTAATTGATATATTTCTTGAATCACGTGGGCAATCTAAAAATAAGTTGAAGAATTTGAAATTTCAACGAGTGAAACATTAAATTTAAAAGTTTCGGCTATTCTGAGCTTTTAGAAATAAAACTTAAGAATCTTCACGAGTTTTTATTCGAATTCATATTAAATAAATATAATAATGTTATAATAATATTTAATATTATTATTCACATTTATTCATGATTATAATAATACTTAATATTTACATAATATTTTTCTATTAAATAAATTTATTAAAAATTTATTTAAAAAAAAAATTAATAATATAATCTTGGTAGGAAATTTTTTTACGCACGAAATATTGTAAAAAATAATTTTTTTGCATAATATGCATTTTGTTCAATATTGCAATTTAATTAAAGTATGAAAACATATAATCTAATTATTAAATTAAAAATTCCAATTTTTTGAGGAGTTATGGTTTGGTATTTAAGATAACGCCAACGTAAGTGTTATAGGTATCACAACGGAAAACACAAACCAATGATAGGTTCCTATAACGATAAATATTTTTTTAACGACAACCCCTGATTATCATTTTTGTGAATAAAATTTCATTTTGTCATGAAAGAGTGGAACATGTGCAATAAAAAGTTCACATTAATTTACAAATAAAAATATATTATCTAAAATGTACAATTTTTTCAGTATTTCAATTACGTAATTTAAAATTGATTTTTAAAACATTTTAAAACTACATTAGTAAAACAAGTAATTAGAACAAGTTTTCCTACTTCGAATTGTTACTATATTTATAATATTGAAATTTTTGAAAATCCATAAGTTCACATTAAAGAATTACATCTATCATATCTATTTATAGATTAATAACAAACTCTTTTGCAGAGAGAGCAATTAATCATTGAAATGAATTAGTGAATAATTCCGCCATTTTGTAACATTTTGACATAACAAAAAATTGAAATATGGAACATTTAAAAAATTGGAATTGTCCATTGAATAATTACCTGTGAAAAAATATTTGCAAACTATTCATATATTATATATTACCAAAGTGGTCAAAATAATTAATTTATAATTTTTTGCAGAAACTTCATAGATTTACAATGGTGCATTTTTAGAATCAAAAATAATTTTCAATAAATATATAAATAACAACTTGTATTCTTTATAGTATCATAGTATTTTTCCCATTGAATTTTTCTGATATAAATTTTATACTTTAATTGTCGATAACTTCAGTATTAAGGAATTCATTTCAGTATTAAGGCTTCAATTACAAATTCACTCATTTCTAATTCACTGAATCGTAATACTTTACATGTCTTTTGTACTACAAAGTAGAGAATATCTTGATATAATATTACTACAAAAAAAGTTATTTACCATTCTCATTTTGGAAAAATTTAAGAGGCCGTCTTCAGTCACAGTTGGAGTACCCTCTTCTATGAAAGAAAGGTCGGATAGATACATTCCTATGTAAGGAATAGATGGTGGATCGCATCGACGTAAAGCTTCTCTTAGATTTTTAAATCGTCCATCCGATGATACAATGTTTTGTAGTTTTTCCATCATTTGAACCGTCTATCAATAAAATAAACGAAACAGCTCATTATTATACTTATATATTTTCCATTAACTGTTGGAATATCAGTACGACGATCCAGCAAACCCTCAAAATTCCATGATCGACTGTACATTCCACGTACATATTTCTTTTATCATTTCATCATTTATACTATTTTTCTATATATATAATAATTAATATTTTCAACTTTTTTCCAAAAGATATGAATGAAAAAACATAACTCGACGCAGCACGATTCTTCAAGGATTAATAGTATTCTAAAAGTGTTCGTATCATTTTTATTTACCGCTTTTGGAACTTTATCCCAAGTCTTCTTTAATCTGAAAACACAGCTGTTTGAGAAGGCTGCACAAATCTGTAATACACCGTTGAAATTGTGTAAAGTTCTGTTGTAATCTGCAATTGCAACCCATTTCTCAATCATTGCAGCTCTCGCTGATACACTCTTGCGTCTGACAATTTCGGAAGCAACCAATTGTGACATTTCATTGAATCGTTTTGTTAGCAGACAAATGTTGGGCGCTCGTGTAGCCTTGTCAAGTTTTATCCATGCCTGTCCGAGAAATTCTCTACATAGAGCAGATTAAATATTAAATATCAGCACTTGTATATATCATTGAATGCCAATGAAACGAATTCTCTTTATCTTAATAAATTCAGTTCTTTCTTTCTTAATTTAATTTAAATTTTTTTTAAATTTCTAGATTAATTAAATTTATTTAAAAAACTTTTTGAAAATAAATTTAAATCATCGAATTCATTATAATTTTATATTGAATTATGTTATATTAAATTATATATATAACTGAATTAAATTCTAATATTATTTAATCCATTAAATTTATTTCTCAGCTACATTCTAAAAGAACAGAGATTTATATAATGTATAATTTATATAATATTCTATCTTATTTTTTCAAAACACATCTGCAATCTTTATGATTCACGTTTTTCGTTTTACAGTCAATTTCATAGCGAATTAATATTAATTTTTGCTAACTTACTTGCTTGAGAGAGCCATAAAAATCTTATGATCCAAATATGTCATTTGTTCTGCGACTTCAACTGACGAGAACGTTTCAATACTTTGCTTAATTTTCAGCTGAAAATATGTGAATAGTTTTTCAGAATGATAAAATTATTTTGAAAATAATATAAATAATAAAAAATAAATAATAATAATAAAATAATATAACTAATATTATCGGAAAAATTATAGATTATACTTATACTATCGGAAAAGTAAAATACAGCGATTTATTGTATATCTGTTATTTGTTTGATATTTCTGTGCACACGTACGGTAGGAGGAGCCAACAGTTTTTCTAGTTCCACTTTGTTGCTGTCCGGCACTTCCTTCGCGATCAATCGGAGTAGTTGGTTCGCAGCTTTGTGTTCAGCCGGCAGAAGATTAGGCGAGCGAATAATATCCTCAAGAAATTTAATCGTCAGATGTTTCAATCTCTGATCGGATTCGAAGTCCTGAGGGTGTTTCGAAATCCAATGCCTCAAAACTTTTAACACTCGCATCATAGTTGCGGTTGACATAACCGACTCCTTCCGGCTGTTTTTATCATAGTAAGAACCGCTTCGATTATCCTTATCAATGTCTGGCGGATTGCTTGATGCAGATGTTGCAATTGCAAATGCGGTCGCAGCTGTCGATGTACTGCTCCTAGATATATACAACGAAACGTTAATTCTTTCTCCATTTAATTCATTTTTATACAATCTCATTTGTATTATATTCATTTATATGATTATTCTTTTGAACAGTATGAAAAGTTTTGATTATCACACACAATTATGTAATATGCGACACAATATCGGCTGAAAGTACATTTTTGCTCTATTCGCATTCTATTTGGTTTAATATTTAATATTTTGTAATATTTTATGAAGCATTTTATAAAATATTAATTATTATGAATAATATACTTATATGATAATGTAATAATAATGGTAAGTAAATAAAAAAATATGATAATAAATGTTAACAAGTTTAATAACTGATATTCTTATATCATAGTATTATAATATTATAGTATCATGAAAAAATATTATAATTATTATTATAATTATTATCTCAATAAGTAAATAAAAAATGATAATAAATTTTAATAATTTTAGAAATTTATAATATTATAACATTACAATAATTTAGCATATTAAACTATTATAATATTTATTATTAATTTATCGTAATATTGATTTATAACTATTATCAATTATTATTTTATAATATTATTTAATATTTAATAAAAATTAATTTTTTGACGATATTACACAATGATAGATATTTTCTGACTGCAATATGTATGCACACTAAATATGTATACTATTCATACATATATTAAAATACTATATACACTAAAATGTTTTAGTCACAGAAATCATTATTGATATTGTTGATATTGATATCGATATCAAAATCTGTATAATATTAAATATGTATAATATTAAATGAAACATAATACAAAATATATCTATCACATATCTTTTGGCCGATAATATGTATGCAGCATGTATAAATTAATATATTATTTCTCATATTATTCAAATAAATAATCATTTAGTCAGCGTTAAGACGTTTTGTGACAGCTATACTGAAGCGAAAGCGATGACAGTGAGGACAGGTGTGAATCGATGTCTTGTATTGATTCCCAAATCGTCAATAATAAGTTTCGATTTCTGATTGTAGGTCTCGAGATCCCCTGAATGATGGACTGTATCCTAGATTTTGATTCTCAAATACCGAATCATGTTTTGTATGTACAGATTGATTAGGCGTTAATCAATCATTTCAAATGTGGGGCGGCTGACTATCCTCGCATAACTCCGTGAGGTAAAGAATCAAACATTGATCGAAGGATCGACGTCGATCATTCTTTGAGGATACCAAATAAAACAGGCGCGCGAGTCAGCGACCCAAGTTATTGGCAAGTGCTCCTGACAATAATTTCGGTGGAGCGCAGTAGACATTAGAACTTCTTATCAGCATAAAAAAAAAACGGGCGAATCGTCTAAAAACAAACCAGTAAATTTCTGAATCGTTCTTTAATCTACGCGATTTCACAAGAAATCGTAGATACATATCGGTTAAATACATCGCGATCGCTTCACGATGCACTCACAAACGGCACTCGATATACTCGACTGGCGATAACAGTAATTTATTAATCATGATATTGCGTATTCAAATATACGAAATTTTGTTTTTCCATTATACTTTTGATTATATATCCATATAATCTCAAAATTATATATCGCGATTCGAATTGGAGATTTTCGATTTAATAGAAAGACGTGTGTACTCTACGTTTGAAACTTTTAGTAGAACATATTAATTTCGTCGATAATTTTAATTCATTTACAAACACCGTTAATTTTGTTTGATTTTTACAATAATATGATAATCAGTAAATTTTTCAAATTCAACATGAAATATGATTTTTACAATAATTTAATAATCAGTCAATGATTAAAATGTGAATTTTAAAATTAAAGTGAGAAGAATATCTTTATATCTTTTATCCTTTTTTATTTTTATCTTATATCCTTATTTTTTATTCTTAATCCTTATATCTTTTATTGTTTTCATAGTTTTATAATATTTAACATACCAGACAGCAGTGAACATTTAAGTGTACTATCTAATTTAAAAAAAAAAAAACACATATTCCTTTCTTTATTATCTACAAACTACTTAGCACATCACAAAAAAAAATTCTAAATTATACTTTCTCTACTGATCATTCGAAATACGCTGAATTGTACAATTTGGAGATATTTCCAAATAAATTATATTTTGCAATATTAACATATTTTTGTATCATTAAATTGTTATATATAAAGTAAGTTTACATTTTCTTACAGATTCTAGAAATAAAAATAGTATATTTTTAATTAGTAGTTGATAAATTTTTGTATTATTATTAATATTAATACTATATACAGAGTGCTTTACGTAATATTCCGCAGAATTGTTTAGCTATTTGCGACGACGTAATAGAAGAACTTCTGCATTCATCAAATTTCAAGTATTTAAAAAAAAACAAGGATTTTAAATATTTTATAGATATTAATTTAATTATTAATCAAAGTTACATAATTTCTGAAAAAGTTACGATATTTTTATATATATTTTATATTTATTTACATAAATAAATGGAAAAATCATATGCAATTAATTATGTAATTACAGGATATTGTTACTGTTATTGTTGTTGTTGTTATTATAATCAGCCAGACTGTATTTTTATGCATTTATAGGAAACTTTAGAATGTAAAATTACAGAGAATGCATATAATATGAAAAAATATATTACGATATCTAAAAGCGAGTTTGAAAATATTTGAACAGTAAAACTTTCACGAATTAAACTGAAATTGTTGACTCTATTTTTCTATGTATTTTAAATAAATGTAATAGTATTTTGTACTTCAAAGTATAATGTTTCTAAATATTTTAGAATATTTGCGTTTTGATCGTAAAATTTTTACTAGTATTTGGTAGATAAAACAATTTTCTATCGAGATTCTATTTTTTTAAATTGTCAAAAATTCTCAAATTCACCGTAAAAATCCGTACTTTAATAATCGAAAAAAAGTTTCTTTTTTAGTATATACATATGTGTATATACTGCATGTGTTAAGGCGATGGTAATGTGTCACGTCTTGATTTCTAAATTGTGAATAATGAATCTTGGCTACAGATCGCGAACTGTATTCCTTTCCTCTGGATTCTCGCTGCCTGCAAACCTGTTTTAAAGTTAGCTATTCAATCATTTCAAAATATACGACGGTTGATTGCCCTGCGTCAGCCTTCTCACATGATGTTGGAAATCAAACGTCGATCCAAGAATCGATGTCAAGCGTTTTTTGAGGACATTGATCAAAACAGGTCAGCAGATCAGCGACCAATTGACAAAATGTCAGTTTTGTTGACAATAAAACGCTCGCGAGATAATACTGCAGTAGAATGCAAACGTTAGAACTTGTCAGCATTAAAAAACATGTTAGTTGTTTTCCTTGTTAGTAAATATCTAAAAATAAATTAATAAATTTCTTCATGTCGACAAGAAATAATTCCATCGATTGCTCGGTTCGAGTGGTGTTAACAGTATGCATATAGATTTTCGTAATACTGTATTTTCGATTTATTTAGAAATGATCAGTATTTTAAAAATGGTGTCATTTTAAATGGTGTCTGTTTCATTTTTTAAATATTTAATATCTAACGAATGAGTGTAGATTTCTATGACTGACTGTACATACTTTCAGATTACTTTCAAATTTTACTAATATAATCATAATAGTTGTGTCTCGATACAGTATTAATGAAATTTCATAAAGTTTTATATAACACACACAATTGTAGAAGTTCTTCCATGATAAATGTATTTTCTTGAGCAACTAATAATTTTCTATTAAAGATCTTCGTTACTCGTAATAAATAATCGATTATACATAAACGTGACAAGTTCATTTTGCATTCATGTTGTACAAATATTAAATTGGGAAAACAATTTACATGATATTTTTATTGTTGAAAATCTAATGTTCTATCTTATTTTGCACAATATTTGTAATCATGTAATAAAACTCCCTGTGTAACACGGTAAGACAAAATTTATGTTTAGTTCTACTAAAAATGTTCATATTAAACTTGAATTTACTGTGAAAGTAAAATATCCTGTAAATTTATTTTTATTTACATCATACGTCGTGTATCTTAAACAGAAAAGTTTAACAAATTTTTTAAAATTAACAAATTCTTTTTACATCATTAAAAATATAGGTGATTACGTAAAACACGTATGACTGAAACAAAATAAATCAGCGTATTACGAATGATTCCTCTCATCTAAAAATCCAATTTTTGTGCGCCTTGCTATCTAATTTTTTAACAAATACGAACGATGCAATAGCTGTGTCCAGTTACTATACTAATTATAATTGTGGTGAACACTATTATCCCGAACGCCAATAAACACAAGAAGTTTAAACTATTTCTATTTCGTTCAGCTCGCTATGATGCTAGATAATTCATGAAAAAATAGAAATAGGTAATACAGTAAAAAAAAAGTTTAAAAAATTACTATGTATATTACAATATATTGATACAGCTTTAGATTTATATTATTTTCTTCGAAAACGAAAAAACGTGAAATTATAAAAGGACTTGAGAAAATATGAGGAGATTATAATACAGAGTGTCTTGTTGTTAGTTTCAATTATACAACCGAGGAGAAAATGATTCTATGTGCAAGAATAGAGGGAAAATATAAGATATAAAACATAGAAAACGTAAAGTGAAATTTTGTATAAAAATTATATTTTACATTTATTTTTATATTTATATTTTTTATATATTTTTAAAATTTCTTTCTACTTTTATGTTTACTTTTATGAAACGATTCAAAACATGTTATTTCTTTGTTCCAAATATTTTTCATATTTAAAAGTCGTTATATATTCAAGATATATACTTGTTTTATACTTTTAGTTTTATAATTCTATTTCTTTATCATATATCTTAGTAAAATTGTAAAAACATACACAAAATGTTAAAGTGTTAAAATGTTGTATTGTTATTATCTTGTTTTATTCTCTCTATACTTATTGTTTTTTAATTTCGTTTGTACATATTTTTATCCTTCATTAAAGCTACAGATTTATATGAAAAATAAAATACCAGAGAAAAATGTGCAAATATGTCACTTAATAAATTCATCTACATAGACTGTTTAAAATAATTAATATATAATGTTTCCTGAAAGTCAATTTTGAATACATCTTAATTATAATCGAATCAGGCTAATTCTAGATTATTTAAGAATAATATACTTATATAATAATATAATAATATATTCATATGTATAAGATCAGAAAATAAACAAAAGATTATTCTATGTAAAAAACTAAATTAAAAATAAAGTATACAAATTTTTAATAAAATGTTTCATTTCTGAAAAAATAAAAATATTTATAAATAAATTTAGTACCAATTAATATTAATAAAACAAGTTTATATTTTTAAAGAACGAAGCCTTTCACGAAAAGATTTTATCTTCAATCTATTTTTTCGTACGTAGAATATTTTCTTGTCGATTATTTGCTCTAGTACTTGATTAGTTAAATTCAAATATACACATAAAATTGACAAATCTTCGAATTCGATTTTTTGAAAAATAAAAATTCAAATGAGAAAATTCTTTTTTGCACATAGAATCCTTCTTGATTGTACCACGAAACTTGAATACTCTGCAGAAAATTTTACCTTTAAGATATTCTCATGCATTCAAAATTTTGTTCATCATTGAGAATAATAGAGAGTTTATAAAAAACATTGTAAAAAAAAGCTATAAATCTCTGAAATAGGATTTCATACTATCTTACAATTTATACTACAAATTATTGAAGTTTCAATTATTTGTAATTTTACATCCAATTGCATGAGAACTGACATTGTATTCTTTATACACGACGAGTCTTGTTTTTGATAAACGTTTGCCAGGAATGTAATACAAATTTTGCAAAGTGCTTCATGTGAACGCAAGCAATATTAAACGACGACGAGAGTCTATAGGTGAGTCGGTGAAAAAGAGTTTCGTCATGCACTACGTAGAATTGAAAATAGCAGTGTTTCAGAAGCAGAAATAATGACACTTACCAGATAGATACAGGTCCAACGCTATAAATGATACAAAACATCATATGAAATAAAATTGCATTAAAACAATTAACATATTATTCTGGATTGAAAAATTAATCTCATGAGGTACTTAAAGGGATGTTTGTACATTCGAAACAGCAGATAAATACATACGAAATAAACACCTCGATCAGATACAAACGATTTACATTGCTATTAAGATTGACACTATGTTGTTGAAAAAGAAGTAAGAATAAAATACAGTATGTTCAGTAGAAGAATCGTATGAAATGTACGAAATCGCGAAGGTACATTTTACACATCGATTATTTTCTAATTAAATCGCAACATATATATGTATTTCATAGAAAGTGTATAGGTTTAAATTTTATCACTGAAAATTAAAATTGCCTAATTACATCAACTTAAACTTAAAAATCTTGAAACTTCGACGTTTTCGTTTCTCAAAGATAAACAATATACGTACAAAAGTGAAAAGCATCATTGAATCTAATAACTATAGATTTCACCCGTAAATCATTCCTCGTGTATAAAAAATAAGATAAAATAGTACACTGTAAGAATGTTTTGCACAATTGATTAGTTAGTTGCAACAATTTTTTCAATGTTTTTTATTTGTCTGTAACGAGAAACATTCGTTGATTCAGTTTCTTTGAATTTGATGTGGGTAAGATTGTTCTACATATCTGTGTTGAGCTATTATATAGAATAAATAGTAGAATGAATCACATGTATAAAGATATTTTACAGAATAATTAATTAGATGTAGTTAAAAATATGTATAATTGCTTCTTCGAGAAACAATGGGATTATGATAGAATTAAATCAGGGAATGATTACACATGCAAAAATAGATCGAAAAGAAAGGATTATAGCTAAAGGATCATAGAGTACATGTTAGTAGATCGTGAATTAATCAATATTTCTTGTTACAAGCAACTAAAAAAAAAATATGACATATAAATGTATTGATTTTTATTATTCGAAATACTTTATTACGTTTATTTTTTGCACATCTTAATATTAATTGCCATTAGAAACACTTTTGTACAAATTTTGCGATTAATCATTCAGTTATGCTCCTCACTATATATAGAGATAAAAGATACATTAAATTAAAATAGGAAAGTACTAGACATATTATTAAAAAGTATTAGATGTTGATTGTAAGGAGATACTATACTTTATAATAAAAATAGACTTTTCAATTGTTACATATGCAGTATTTCATAAATAATAGAGAACAGTATTGATTAAACGAGGATAGAAGAATATGAATATCTCTGTCTACAAAAATAAGAAATATAAGGAAGATTTTCATAGGCGGAAGAAAACACGTAAGAATACCGAGACAAAGCACTCATGCGTAAGAAAGTATGTAAGAAAAATACCTTTATTACAATCAAACATTCAGTAGCGATACCGTGAAACGAAATAGAGATAATTTTCTGTTTTAAAATACAAAACGCCTGTACAAAATCAGTATTCTTAATTATATTCGAGGTACGCGCGTTCGGTAGGAAGATTTATCACTAATATTGTTGTATCGATCAGCTCGTTATCAGTACATTTTACTGTCCATTGAAGTTATGTGCTACTGTTTTCTTACGAACGAATAGTAAACAGATTACTATAATTATACTTCGATCGTGTTTCGTAGAAGACATATTGTGTAATCTTCGGGAAATGAAAAATCTCGGATCGATCGACACGTACAACAACGTGTGGATATTAAACATTTAAACACATCAGGAATACTCGAACGAACCTTCGATGACTCTGGCGAGAACTGGTAATCACAACTCCAGCTTTGCTGGAAATCTGCTCGTGCTGGAAGGTGCCTTGTTGGAAAGACAATTGGTTTTCCTGAATTGAACGCCTGCTCGCCCAATAATTCTGCAAAAGGGAAATTTATAGTGATATAATAATATTTCCTTTAGATCTTAATTAATGATATCATCATCATGATATTATGCAATATATTAAAAATTCACTGAAGAAAGCATTTATTACGTTTTCATATACATATGTATATGTAACTTATTCTACCTTATTGATAGATCCTTTGTAATCTCGAAAAAAATATATGTACTAAATAGTATTTAGGTAATATACTATCATTTGTATATATTACAGTCAATCTCGAAAGTCTACATACAGTTTTAACATACATTTTAACATTTTTTATTTTTAACGTTCTGTATTTGTTGTAGAAAACACAATTTTTAAATTATATGTGTAATTTTTAAAAAAGTACATTTGTGAAATTACATGTGTACATTGTCATATAGAAGAATTATTTAATTTCTCCAATTTTGAGATAATAATACTGCTAAGACCATTGAGCGAGGTTTGTAAATTTCAAATATGAATTTGTTTATTAATTCTACAGATTCTGGAAAAGTTAACATAATTCGAAATCACGAAATCTGTTATACAATGACCTGGATATAATATAATGTACAATATACATATATTTCTATTATTACTTTTTATTAATTATAACCAGAATAAATTTTGTCTGCATATAGATTTTTATAAAATCGTTTATATATAGATTTTCGATTTATTTAAACAAATGTAAACATCCAATAAGTTAACGTAGATTTAAAATGTTCAAAACCTTTCTTTCTCTGTTTCAAATATTTGATGTATATATGTAAACTTCTATGATCAACTGTATTATTTCTATGTTATTTTAATTACAATAACATGTTATATATGCTATGCTACACGTATATAAAAATAATATGAAATAATAGAAATAAAACGTATAGAAATCAGTATTAATTAAATATTAAAGAAATTTTTCGACATTTTTCGACATACTCCAGTTATCGTAGAAATCGAGCTACTTCTTGCAGTAGCCGCAGGAGCAGAGACAATGGATGCTCTATGTTGGTATCTTTGTTGATTCTGTTGATTTGGTATTGATTTTTGAGGAGTCTGCACGGATGAACTGTCACTTTCAGGTTCTTTCTGTTTCTCTTCTTTGCTTGTTTTACTTTCAGTTATTTCAGCGGGTTTTGCCATTGACGTAGTAGGACTTTCTGTGGGTGTTTTCTCTTCTGCTTCTGTCGATGTATCAGACTCGAGATGCTCGTAAGTAAATTGTCCGTCTGAGAGTTTGGAAAATAATTTCATGAAAATTATTGGTCTATCCTAAATATATAGTTATAAAGAATATTTTTGACATCAAAGAAACATTTAAGATCAGAGATTCAAGAAAGAAATTCATTATATTTGCTGGTCTTCTTAAATTTTTGTAATATGTAATATGTAATCTTTATTAATACAATTGCAAAATTAAACATAATAGTCGCTAATAACACTACGTGTTAATGGGACCACTTTAAAATAAGTACAAATAATGATAATAATGACAATAATATTTTTTGCGAATATCTCGAAAACTAAAAGAGAGCGACAGTTATAGTTGCTTAGAAAAGTTGCTCGGAATTGCCCCGACTACATATTTCGAGTCCATTAAAATCAGTAGAATGTATTTCTTTGTAAATAATTATTTAATTACTGTGATATTTTAATCTTTTATAACGTCCTGTAATTTTAAAGTTGCATACTGTTGTCTAAGAAAGTATTCGAACACTTTTAGGACTTTTTTTATGAATATATTTGTATAGTACAATTATAACTATACGTTACTTAGTATACAATTAACATATATTGTATTAATTATTTATATATATATATAAATGTAATTAATACATTATGTCACATAAATAAATACAATGTATGCATTTAATATACAAATACAATATATACAAATTTAATATATAAATACAAATATTATGTATTGTAGATGCTATATAAAATATTTAAAAATTTCATTCAAGATTCAGTTATGATTATATTAATCAACTGTAAGATGAAGAGTTTGAAAATTATATTGTTTACAGTTTTTCTAAAGAATTTGAAGCCACAAATCATTTATTTATGGGTATATTTTTAAGATGGCTACTTATTTTTTTATTTTTTACTAAATATATTACAATAAATTTGTTGTAACCTCTATGTACATTTTTAAATTGATTTCAAATTTTACCAATATAATCGTAACAATCATTTCTCATTATAGAGTTGAAATTGAAATTTCCAAATGTTTTATATAACACTATAATACATATAGATAAACTATAACACTATAATACATATAGATAAATATTTCTTTTATGATGAATATTCGAATATTTTCATGATTAGTCGTATTCAAATTTTAAAAAGTTTTACTTTATTTACATATTACTTCACTATTGTTTCATCTTATTATGAAAATACCAAATCTCTTACTTATAATAATTATTATATATATAATAATTATTAGGAACTAGTAAAATTAGTAAAATTCTTGGGAACAAATAATAAATTGTTAAATAATAATACATTTTTATTCGAAATAAATAACTACAATTAACTAATAATTTTTTCTTGCAAATAAACGAAATTCTCACGGTTATTTACCTTCTTTTGGGAGACCAGTTGCCACTTGTGTATCCGTTTCTTTGGAAACAGATCGATAAGTACCATCTTGTGGACTTCGATCTAATCCAGAACCAGTTGATCCAACCAGTGTAACGGAACTAAGGTTGCTTGGAGAGGAAGGTGCACTCATTATCGTATTATCTGAAATTAATTAATTTCTTTCTTAATATCACGTTAATGAAAAAAAGTTTCACAAGTAATCGGACAATTTTTTTTTAAATAATAAATCATCGTGTCTTAATTATTAGATATTAATAAAAATACAATAAATTGGAAAATATTAGGAATAATATGGATTAATAATAAAATTATTTAGATGCATGTTCCAAAATATTTGAAACCATGTGCATATATAAAATTATTTAAATACATATTTGAAAATATTTAGAATACTAATTCATAAAAGCTTTATTGTTAGTAAAGTATATTCACGTTCCAAAATGAATTTCATAAGAAAAGAAAATGAATTTTGTAGTTCAATTCACAGTTATTCTATGGTTTCTATCATTCCTTGAACGGGAATCGTAATTTTTCTTCGAAAAGTATTTTACCCGTAAGAGTCTCAGAGCTCGATGAAACAGGAATGACTTTTGGTACTGTTAAATGACGGCCATCGTCTTCTTCTTTCTTTTCTTTGTCCACGGAAATGCTGATTTTTCGTGACACTGCCGGAGATTGAGAACCAACAGACGCAGTACACGATTGTGCAGTAGGACTTCGTTTCATAATTGAAGGTGCCTCCGAAATCAAGCTTAATTGCTGCTCTTCATCTACTAAAATAATTATTAATCGACAATTATTTTTGGTGGTATGAATTAATAGAAGTTATAGAATAACTTTCCGATATTAATAATGGAAATTAATTTGTTAATCATATATTTATTAATTTAAAGAAATTGAGGAATATTTGAATCGACATTAACGACAGTCGTTTATTATATTACCGAATGTTAATAATATCAATTAATAATAATAATAGATATAGGTATATATATTTTATATTTTACACATTCTGTATGCAAAATACATATATCAATACTTAATTTCAATAGTGATTTTTTTTGCATAGAGCTAGAGTACAGAAACTGAATACGTCATAGTGAATGTTAAAAAGTTAAAAAATATTCAGAAAATATATAACTACATACAATCTATAGCTATAAATGTCTCAAATTTTTGGTCGATACTATTATATGTTTTATTATGTTATGCAAGAATTTAAAAAAAAATTGCAATCTACTTAATACAATGGTAATGCAATGATTAACTGTTCAAAAAAGAAATTTTAAATAATTTGCTAATAAGTTGTTTCAATATATATCCACTATAAATGTAGAATTTACAAAACTCGGAAAATGTTTCAGCATGATTCACACACAACTATAATATTGTTGCATATGAAATGATTGATTTCACAAATGTATATTATTAATAAATGCATATTATTAAACAATATTTATTAGACATTGATTTGAAATTTGGAGCTCGCCAAATTTAATATGATCGGCATTGTGTTAATTTTGGTAAATTATGTATTAAACCGTGTATGATTATCGAATTTGAGTATTTTTGAGAAATTTTGGTAAAATTTAAAACACTGATATAATGAAATAAAAATTGCTTACAATACTATAATAGGTTTGCTGTATTAATTCTTTCAAAATTCTCAGATTTTAATATTATTTTCATTTCAGATAATAAAAATTTATAATGTTTTAAGAAAATATGCTTAATATAAAATGAAATTGAGAAGTTATACATACTAATAGGAATTTTTTGATGTTATAAAAAGAAAATGAAAGCGGATCGAAAATGAACAAAAGAAGAGAGAATTTGCCATTCGTGTGAAAAATTTAGATTAGGAAATAAAAATATAAAAAGATTAACCAAAAAATTACCAACAACAGTCAACTAAAGATTTTAATTCTAATAATTACATTTAATTGTATTTACTTATACATAATTTATTATTTATATTTAATAATAAAGAAAAAAGCTATAAATCTTGAAATTTTTATTTTTTTGACTATTGTGCAAACGTTGTTTAAAGATGCGTAATTTATAAAATTATTGTATTTATATGTTATTTTTTTTTAATTTTATTTTTTCAAGATTATGATTTATCATTTCTATACATGTAAAGAAAGCTAATGCTACGCTTTTTAATGAGTAAGCTTTGTTTAAATTAGCTAGTTTAAGTTTAATAGTTAGCTTTGTAATAAGTAATTTACCCTTTTTATATCCACCAGTGCGCCAGTATCCCTTTGAATTAAGTATATGTCCGCCGCTGCTAGAGTCACCAGAACCATGACTTTTTGTTTCATGGCTCTCACTTATTTCGGATCCATATCCTATTTGCAAAATGAAAAATTAAAGATAGTAGATAATTATGAAATTTATCAGAAAATATTGTGTTTGCATAAGTATGGCATAATTATATTTTTATGTATATAACTATTACTATTATTACTCCAATGATTAATACTAATTTAATATGAAATTAGGCACACATTTTAACATTAGAACTACTAAACAACTGTACCATGAAATTTATATCAGAAAAATTCAAGTGCAAGACTATATTCATAATAGTATAATATAATTATATTATTATAAATAATATAAATATTAATACTTTTTATTTATAACTATTATAAATAACTGTACTATTTTTTTAAATATAATAACATTATTATATATAATAGTATAAATATACTGTTTACTTATTGATTTTATGGAAAATTGTAAATCTTTAAGAAATATTTAAGAAAAGTTGTAAGCCTGGAGAAGCTTGGCCATATTGGTAGTTCTAGTGTTAATTCAAGGCATGATATATATATTTATTCGAGATTTCCATATAATTAATAAATCGATAAATGTACCAGAAACTGAACTAGCTCCACTAGTTTTTCGTGGTAAAAGGATGCTTCGTTTCTTATCGTCTATCTGCAGTTGCGAGTCTGTCGCGTTTCCACCCAAGACGTCTAAAGATCTAAACAAATTTATATTCATAGTCATAAAAGACGAAGTTTAAGCCATAAAAATGTTTTTCGACTTTCACATTCACTTTATTTTTTGATTCAACGATTCCTGAGACAAAGAAAATTTCAAACCATGTTCAGGATCGCATAATGTCATAATCATGTCGGTTTCACAAGATCATATATATATATTTAATTCATTATATCAGGTCCGTCGAACTAATGGCTCGTAATCCTTTTTGCAAACAAAGGGGAAGACTCCTTCATACCTATTTCATTCTATTGTTTCTTTCTTCTCCGGATACTCTAAGAGTTCCATTATCCGCTTTTTGTAACAAAAATTAAAAATATTCTCGTATCGACTTTTTTTTTAAATAAAATATGATAAAGCAATGTAAGAACATATAATAATACTTGAGATCCAGTCGTAAATTATAGAAAGCTGAAATTATGGATAAAATGCATCGCCGATAATACATGTGTGAGAAGAGATTGTAGAAAAGTATTTTTTCATAAATTGACAAAGTTAAGAAATTAAATCAAATGTATGCAATAATGGTTAAAGTCTAAACATGATAGGAAAATCATGGGGTTAAAGCCCCAAACAATGAGGGGCAAGCGGCTTATAAATTGCTAAATTCATGTGACGCGTTCGACAAGCCTGCATTATGTCAAAATGAAAAATTAATTAACTAAATTTTGTCATGAAAAATTGGATTATATAATAATGTAACTCAATATTTAATAAATTGGAAATTATATAATATGCAATAATACTATATAATATACCATGATATATTGTATAATATAATATATAATACAATATATATAAACTAATATTATATTTAAAATATAATATTATAATATTTTAATATATATAATAGTATAATATTAATTTTAATTATAAAATATTAGATTTTTATTTATCTAATGAAATATTCATCACTGGAAGAACTTCCTCTATCAATTGAAAATTAAATGCATGTGTTACGAAAAATTGATTAAAACACAGATTTGTTTATTATATATGCAATAATTGTCCTAATAAAAATCTATGTTCTATTAATAAATTAAAAAATAATTAAACTTACACGAGAGAACCAGTAGGCATCTCAGCATACGGTGGCTCAGCCTCGTAAAGCGCTTTCTTTAAGGTTTCTAACACAGTGACACTATCGATGAATACTCGATAAGTTATCAAAAATGTATTGAGATAATCGATACTGAGAAATCTCAGATCCATCAGACGTTGAAGTAGACGTTCAGGTGTGGCTAATCGAACTTGCGGAATCTTGCAGGAATTTAAAGTCTTACTGAATTTGATGTCCACGTCATCATTGAATAATTTCGGGTCGTTTTCGATAGCTTCAGGCATCGTGACAGAACTAGTGTCCGACCACAAGCCTTGAAGTAAATCGTGCAAATGAACGTTATCCATACAGTGACTGATATCGCTTATCCAAGCAGCTTTCTCCTGTTAATCGAAATTTTTTATAAATTTCCTTTAAATTAAAAATATTTCTTTTCTTATAAATTAAAAATATAAAATATTATTAATCTCATTTCCACCTTCATTTCCGCTAATTTCTATTAATTTTCATTAATATTCCTTTTCTTGTAGATGGAAAGTATAAAACATTGTTAACCCTTCAATGGGGACTCAAGCTGTAATTTTTTTTCTATATATAATTCTATTTGAAATTCTAATTCTAGTTGCTAATATTATAAAATTCTGCTATGTAAGATTATACAAAGATTCAATTTCTTTTATTCTTAAAATCAGTAGTTTTTTCATCCTTGTCTTTTACGTAGAACTCTACATATATCTGTTAAAATTAAAACAAAGCAATAAAGCGAATAAAACATTACTCTGATTATTATTATTGTTATTATTATTGAAATAGTACATTTCAATTTTCTACATTTTAATGTATTTGTAGATTTCGTAATTTTTTTCTCTCAATATATTTATATATGACTTCAACAAATAATGAAATTAATGTTTATAAAATGTTCCAAATTTTTTTTTAAACTAATAGTTACTGCCTAACTAATAATATGTTCAAATCTTTGATTTTACTTAAATACTTTAAATACTTTTATTTAAATAATTTACAAATTATGTGTAGGTTTTTTTCTCTTAAAGAGAGTAATAGCTTGTATGACACGTAGAAGTTGTTGCTGACGGATTAAAAAAAAATAGTAAATATGTAACTGTAAATTAAAAAGGATGTTACGTTTACAATAATAAAATTTAGTACATATAATTTTTGTTATAATTAGACTGCGGATTTTTATACAAATTTTTATAACCAAAGTATTGAATTTTAATACAAAAGTATTGAATCTCAATAAAATATTATTTTAATATCACAAATTATTTATATTATTATATATTATATATTATTAATTAATATTAATATTATAATATTAGCACTAGAAGATTCAAGAATAAAACTTTCATTAGACATATTAAGCTAAAAAGAAAAAAATAGAAAAATTTTATAGTGCAATAGAATACAAACTATTATTTAAACATTTTATGAAAAATCATTTGAATTTTCAAAAATACACTGACGTCTATAAAATTTCTCAACAAAAATTATGAACTAGTCATTTTGGTAGTTCTAGTGTTAATATTAATATCACAGTGCAATTTTGAATTTTGAAATTTCTCATAAATACATAAAAATCTCCAGTTTGATTAAAATTGAATGGTGACCTCGAATAAGGATCTACGTTACATTTAACATTACATTTCAAGATAACACAGTTTAAACCTATACATTTTCCATGAATTTTAAACTCTGAAGTGCTCCTTTTCTTTTATTTTATATTGACTTCTGACTTTTGAATATTTGTAATCTGTGTATAGTATCAGAGAGACTGTAAAACCATATTGCACTGTTGACTCAATTTCGACAATTCGAAAATGTAACATAGATCCTTCGAGTACTATTCCTCTATTCAAGATCTTTATTCAAGTATTCGAAATTATACCTGAATAGTAGGAGCTACGAGGTGTACGGTAAATTGAGGTCCGCCGGATTTTACATCGAATATAATTTTGAAGTCACGGTTCTGCAGTTGTGTATTGACACTTCCACTGCCAATTCCGCTACTTTCACTTACACCACTGGATATCGAACACATTGACAGTTCTAAAATCAGTTCACCGTCACAGTAATATTACATTAATGTATCTAATTACTTAATTTTAATTCAAATAGCAAAAAGGATAATGTTCTTTTATAGCAAAAATATTTGTTACAAAACAAAAATCATTTCTTCATACACAGTTAACAGACTGAAGATAGAATAGTACATTCATCATACATGAACTTAAAAATAAGACTACAAAATAGAATATTTTATAGAAAATACACCAGAAGTATTCTAATTAATTAAAAATTCAATAACTTTCTCGAAAGACAAAATAACATAATACTTTTTATCACTTGCAACAAAATAATATAATATTTTTTATCACTTGCAACAAAATAATATAATACTTTTTATCACTTGCTAGAATTTCTCAAGAATTTGTATTTAATTACATTAATAATACACCAAGTGCAAAAGATTAAACATAAACGATCACAATAGCATGAAATTGCCAGATAAAGCTCTAAAAAGTTTTAGTCAACAGATAATAATGTTATAATACCGTCATCATCTGCAATATTCTGTTCGTTAGGGTCTTCCACTAACACTGCATCGGAAAGTGGTATTTTTCCGATTTGTGGAACAAGATTCAAACGACCGTCGTCGCCCGATTGACGCGTCGTTAATAACAAATGTTTGGAAAAGAGGAAGCATTGTCTGACTGCTTCCTTATCACTACTTTTCCCACCGAACGTTGCGCTAAATCTACTTCGTGCTCCTCTTGGCTTGTCTAATATTTGAATGAGTGTACCTGAAAAAGAATAATGAGATGTGAATGATAACATGGAAAATATATTTGAAATTCAAGATTGATTAAAACGATCAATTTTTCTTTTTTTGTAATTTTTTATAGAAATTTTGTAGATTTGCTTGTTTAAAGATTCGGATGATTTTCATAATTTACATATAGAATACAGCATTTAATACACGTAATTATTTTTGTCATATTCATAGTTTTAAAATAAAGTTACACCATTTTACAAAGAATATGTGAGTCCCTTAGTTAATAGGTGAATTAAGTCTTTATTCCTTAGTATTGTGAAAATTATATTTTCATGTCAATTTCCATAGACTTCATTCCGCCTAAATCGCGTGCGAACAATATTTATAATATTGGACTCATTTTGGATTTACGCCACTCGTCAATTAAGGAGTTGTCATGTAGGACAAATCTCTTTTCAAAATCATTTAAAAAATTTTTCCAATTGTACAATTATTTTCTCAAATCTTAACACTCTTAGATTACAAATTATAATTGTTACCATTTTCCTACGTACCATCTATAATTATAACATTTTTAAACGTACCAATAATTCTATGAAATTTTAACGTTCCCAGATCATAAATTACAGTCATTAAATGTTTTCTACACAGAAGATCTTTCTATATAGAGCGTACCATATTTGCAAATATACCAATAATTCTAATCCTCTAAATTTTAATCCTCTTTGGTTTATTATAATTATAAAATACATTATACAAATTACGGTGCAAATACAAATTATAATTTGTACAATAATTTCAAATATAATAAAATCAAACACAAGTTACAAGTTATTATTTTGTAATGTACCATCTAAAACTACATATAAAAATCCCAAATATATGTATGTATTGCTTTTCAATTGAAACGTTTTCTGTCATAAAAATTTAATTCAAATAATTTAATTTATAAAAATAAAAGCCATCATCTCAGCGTAAAAGCCATTTGTGGTAAAAATGATATATTTGCTCTTATTAAAAAGGTTAACTCTATAAAAATTCAATTGTTTAAAAAATTAAAAAAAAGTTTAAAGTATTATTAAATAATTATTACTTAATTATTATTACTATTTTAATTAATACGATATATGTACATGTATGATTCTGCTCATGTTTATGTATAGTCGGCATAATATAAAACAACAAAATATATGATATACATATAGTATGATGATATATAAGTCCGGGAAAATTCAAGTACTTTCTGAAAAATATTGTATAATTGTTATTTTTCCAGATTATGAACAAACAAATGATCTTTCTCGAAATTATTTCACTACTTGATCATCAAATGAAATAATTTTTATTTTATTTTATATTTTATATTGATTCGTTTCTACAAATAATTTCTAATTTTATTTAAAAGAATTATTGTACATTACTATAAATAATACCTTATACGACAAAGAATCTGCAAGGTATTAATACTGAATTTAATAATAATATTAAAAATCTTATTATCTACGATAAATTGAATGTTAAAAATCAAAAGTGTCCGAAGATTTTTGAACAGCAATATCTATACGTATGTACTTAGGCTTCGTTAGGTATATTGTTTGGAAATGTTTTTAGAGAAAATTGATTCTATAAATATTTTAGAAATATTTCTAAGAGATTTTATAACAATTTCTATAACAGCCCTAATAATAGTTGCGCATAATCCGGCAGTTCGACGTATTATGTACATACAACCCTATTGATTCTAGAACAAAAAGAGATGCGCTTGCATCACTTACCACGAATTTTCACTTGTTATGGACATGCAAAAGCTTCGAGGCAATATCCACGTATAGCAAATTCAACTCAGACTTTATCGACTGCAGCGAAAAATTTTTCATCGATTTTCTCGATTCGGGATGAAAGAGAAGTGAAACAATGAAAATATCGATGGAGGGTTACCGATATTGTTGATGAAGGAAACTGTAAATTTCTACTTGTAGAAACAACTTGTATAATCGAAAAATATGGAGCTCAGAAGCTAATCAGAAGGTAATTAATAAATTGCGAATTTTTACATAAATAATTAAAAAAATTTTTATGAAGACAACTAGAAAGAAAGCAAAAAAGAATTGTCTTATCTATTATATAATATTAAATATTATAAAGAATATTTTTTTTCATTTTTTCATATAGTATATATCATGTGCATTTTTATATCTTCAAATTTTTTACAAGTGTATAAAAATTAATTAATCAGTGTAAATTATTTTTCGTTGAAAATAAATTGTTCTAGACAAATTCCCAGTCCGTAAAATAGTTTAGTCATTGTAGTATATTTATTATGATATTATATTTAAACTATTCCATTGATTGATGGTTTTAACAAGAAAAGGATATTTGTATGATACAAAAATTTTTATAGAAAATAATTTACATTAATTATAATGTTTTTGAATCCTTCATATATTAATAATAAATTTACTTAGATTTTTATATTTTCATTTAATTCATAATTAATTGCTTCGAACTAGATATTTTTTATGTGCTTTAGACGAGATATTTCACAACGTTTTGGAAAATTTTTTTTTTGTTTTAAAAAATAATTGATTTTTAAAATCAATTAAATTCGAGAATGAACTCTGAAACATTTTTCTACATCTTAAAGAAATTGAATATAATAATAATCAATGACGTTCCTATGGCGTCATGTGATTTTCAACAATATATGTCATTTATATATATCATTTATTTATCTATACTTTTAGTATCTCTATCTTCTTAGTTTTGACAAATTCATAATCGTTGATATCGCCTTCATAGATCATTTTCAACCAAGAATTTGTCGATTCTGGTAAAAATTGTTCCCAATAATAACCAGTCATTATAGTGTTAATAATTAAATTTTCGAAACTGAAATTACCGATATATCCGCTGAAATCTGTTCGCATAATTGAACATTTATTAACCGTAAAAAATTTCAATCCTTTGAATGTAAAATCAAACTGATTTGAATGACTTACGTACACTACAAATGAATAGAAAAAATATCAATCAAGTAGTATACGTATAGTGCAATCATTTTCATTTATTTTAAGGCATTCGTTTATCCATGTTCGTCTATATTTGTATACAGATGAATAATAATACATGATGAAATACTTGGCCTGCAGATCTAAGAGAATTAAATATGATAAATGATATAATAATTCGTAAGTGCATGGAAATTGCTAATCGATGTAATTAACTAATTTGCAATCTGAAACTTCTTTCAATCTTCTAACAGCAATTCGCTGTTTTAAAAATTAAATATACAGAAACATTCAATAATATCGCTTACCCTGTCTTACAAATACTTGATTGACATCGAGTAAAATATCACAGCCTTCTACGATCATTCGTTCCACGCCCAAATTTTTTCGTAAGTTTTCTGTTTCACTGACCTAAAATAATATGAACGCATCAACACAGCTAGAAATATCTTATTAATAATTAATTATTGGAAGATTAACGAAATGAAACAGTAATTAATTATTAGAATCAACGAACATGTTGCTTCTGAACGATCAACTATTGCAATCAAGTAGAAAATCAATACCTCGTCGTGCATTTGTCTCGATAAATGTTCCAATTGTTGCCTCGCGTTTTCTAAACTTTTCCGTTCAACGTGATCGTGGGGAGTATGCGCCAATAATTCGTGCAGTGTAATAATATATCTTGGAATCTGAAAAATATACGTGGAAAATTATTTCCTCTGTTCAATTATTTCCTCGTTTCATCTGTAATTCAACATTAATTAATAGAATTTACAATAAAAATGTATAGTGTTTGAATAAAATAATAATTCACTGAAAATAAGAAAGAGCATAATGCAATATTTTTAAAAATGATGCAAGAAATAAATAAGATTTAGCAAAAACAATTTGAAAAAATTTTAAATTTACATCGACTTCCAGAAACTTGTAATGGAAGCTAATTTATTATTGCTACATTCTTTGGATGATGGAATATTTCGTAGATATATATGTTCTCAATGAATTAATTTAGTCGTAAATTTACCATCACTAGATATGGCTCTTTGTTTTGAACATTTTTCCTACAAAACCAAAAATAATATTTTAACTATTTAGGTGTCCCCATTTACGAAGGAATATTAATCTTCTATATTTCATTTTAATATTTCTTTATTCAGAATGACATGAATAAAAATAAATTCGTAGAGAAAAGGAATCATTTAAAAACAAATGCAATTGCATTTTGTAATTGCACCAATGCACTTTTACCAAACATCATATTACACGATAACCGATTTTTAATACGTACTAAAATATTCTACATATAAATCATTATAAATTAAATAATAATCAAAATAAACAATTTTGTTGCTACATAAATTGAAATTAATATTAATTTTGTTTTTAGTTAAATATTGTAAAAGTTTCCTCCATGATTTTTTCAACAATACAATGAATCGATTAATTTATTTTAGTCTTTTTTACAAATAAACTGCAATATTAACACATTGACGCTTATTTGAAATTTGGAATTATTATGATGAATTTTTTGCAAAATTTCACTCGAGAAATCTTAAATGAGAAATATTTACTCAAAAGTAACGCAGTTATTGTTGGAAAAAAAGCATTTATTGTAGGTACTTGTTTGAATTCGTATATATTTCCTGAGAATTGATAATATTGAAAGTAAAGATGCAAGCTTCAAGACTTAACCTTGAAGGCTGAGTTTTTAAGAATAATATCATACGAAGCTTAAACTTTCAGAACTTTAAGACTGAAGCTTTAAGACTACAATTAGCTCTCGATACTCTTAAGATTCATTTCGTAATACATATATTAATAATACATATATTGATAATATTGAGTAATACATATATTGATAATAATGTGACATTTGACACTCACGTTATTTATAATAATCATTGTATACAACTTAGATAGCTCGAGTTTAAAAATTCGAGCGTCGAATACTTTAACTTCCACAGCTTAACGCTTAAACCTTTGAGGTTCAGACTATAAAGGCTAGAAACATGGACTGAGTTTTTCAAGCAGCAGATTCAAAACTTATAATAACCAAAGTTTGTACTCGTTAGTCTTTAATATTGCATTATTTTTAACAAAACATTCAATTAAGGCATAAACGCAAATTTTTTGACATTTTTTGGCATGCGGAATGTTGTTTTTCCTTGCATTCACAGAAGTATGTCGTACATTTACTTTTGTTTTGTTAAAAAATTTCAAAAAAATTTGCGTTTATACGTTAATTGAGTTGTGAAATACAGAATCTACGTATTTATGATGAAACAATACATGAAAACAAAACTTATAGGATCAAAAAAATAATTCATTAAACATACCAAATATAAATGTAGTATCGTACGTCATTTTAGTTGCATTTAATCATAACAGATGGCCTGTAATGATTGTTTATCATAAAAATGGGTGAACGAGAAAAAATATGAATACTATACGAATGAAGCACAACGTTTGCGCTCTTGTCTTTTTGAAAAGAGAGTCGGGCGAGTTTAGAAACGGAGTCGAGTGTTGTTTAAAAAGAGTCAATTGTGTTGTTAAAACAGTTTATTTGAGTCGTTTATCTGTGTTATTTGTCTTGTCTAATTATTTGTTATTCAATTACTATTATTGTTATTTAATAATCATTTATATTTAATCTCTACATAAATAATATCCAATAAGAAGAATTGATGTTATGAGCTTTAAATGGTTATATCACGAAAGTGAAAGTATGTGGTATACCGTCTTATTTTCCCATACGACCACAGATCTATCTGCAAAAATCTGATCAAAATTGATATTTATTCGAAACGGTTAGCTTTTGAATGTTACATCGACGATTAGTGTTTGAATATACTGACAAAAATAACAAACGGAGGAATAATTTAAAGTGTAACATTTGAAAATTTTATGAACTGATAGAAAAATAGCGGCCATTAACCATTACGCTATCATGGATGAGATATTTTGCATAACTATGTGCAATATCATCAATGAAGTGGAATTGTAGAATGGCGTTATAAAGCGAGAGCGTTAATCTCGTTGGTTGTACAATACATAGTTGTGGCGAGATATCTTATCCACCGTACTGAAAGGATTAATGAATTATGTCGTTAAACAATCACGTTGTGTTGGTAATAGTATTTAAATCCAAAACATAGAGTAAACAGGATGCTAAAAACAGGATGCTAATTACGATATTAATTTTCAACAGTAGTTGCGCATCGTTTTATGACGTTCAACTATGAAGTTGTGTCTTATGCATAGAGATGGTACATAATACTTTAATCTGATTAATTATCCTTGGGGACGTGCACTGTATATGAACATCAGAATTTCTCAGCTTCTCTCATTGTCACTCTCTTATCCATGACTTTTTCCTCCTTTTCTTATTTGTCTCATGCGTATAAATTATTATTATACTTCCACTATTTTTACTATTATTATATCCCGTTTCATTATTATTTTATTATAATATTCCGTGATAAAATTAAAAACACGAAAAAAATATTTTTTTACGAATTGCGGTTGAATGTTATATAAAAGTAGATACGAGATGATATTTCATAAAGATATTAAAAAGGAAAAATAACTTCTTCGTTTTAATCTGAATTTAAACTTTAGATTTTATTTTAATTTTGTTTTGTGTTATCTTAATCTATATTATTATTTTATTTTACGTTATTATTCTTAAGAATTTCAATATCAATATAATTTTTTTAAATAGAACGATATGTTATTATTATTTTTTACAATTATGTATATATGATGACAATGTTTGATTAATAGTTTTACGAACAACATAAATATTGGTGGAAAGTGGCAAGTTTCGTATTTTCCTATAATAATATGTGAACCGCGAGATGGTAAACAAGTAAACGAGCTACATCGATATTGCTTTGTTTACTGTTTTTAGTCCAGAACATTGCCCAATAGCTTTAAAAGTGGCTTTTTGTTGCCAAAAACACTTTGATATCGGTTGTTGTTTTTCGACAAAAATTTAATTAACGTAAGTATGACGTGAAAAAGACGATAAACAGTACAAAAAAAGTAATTAAAAAAATATGTATAAAAATACAAAGAGTATAATAAAACTATGGATATGTTTGCACGATTATGTATATAATCATACAACTATGACATGGGGTTTTCCAATTTTCATGGTAAAACTGAAAAGATAATAATTCTACATATATACGCAAAAATAAACTAAAATGAAAGAATAGCATTTCTTCATTTAAATTTGCTATAATCTCTAAATGTTTGCTCTCATTTTAGTAAATAGAAAGAAGTTTTTAAACAGTTCTTAAAGTAATTGAAAAAAGAAATTATAAGATGTTAATGAAGTATGAAATTGAAAAATAAGAAATTATGTATATGATTCATTTTATTAAAAAGAAGATATTTACTGTCAGTAAAATATCACTCATGATGAATATTTAAATCATTTAATTTCACTTTGAATTTTGCGATTTTGTCTTCATAACGTTTGATCGTAGAATTATCCAAAATGTGTAATTATATATTTGGATTTCAAAACTTTAGAGAACTGTCATTTTCAGGAAAAAGAATATTTTTTAATAAATAAAAAAAAAACAAATAAAATTTGATAATAAATTGAATAACGCATAAAAAATATTTTTTTGACTGAAATTGGATTTATATTCCTTTGTCCCATCAGAGTATTTTAAATCTGCTATAACTGTTTCCATAAAATTTTGCTCCGACCTTTAAGACACCTACATATGTTATGCACCCACTGTTTCATATTCAAAAGGCTATCAATCAAACAAATGAATAATATTAAGAAAATGAATATAACGTAACATACCTGATGCATAGGATACGTTAAAAAGGTCTCTAGTGAACGTCCTCCGCAAGCGATCTTGTTCTCCAATCTAATAAGCATTGCAGCGAACGCAGGTGATGATTGCTTGCATTCAGTCAACACTTGAAGACTGTAATGATGGTTTCTGACGTATTCTTGATAAATTGATAACATTGGCAGTAACATGTCGAACAAATCTCCTAAAATCATCAAACTTGTCGTCAAAATTCTTATATTTTGTGCACGTATCGTTGATTATTATTAGACTGCGAATTTTCATATATTTATGGAAAATTTAGAGTACAAAATTGCGTAGAATGCACATAAGTGTGTAATTAACAATTAATTTAATTAGTATTCAATTTTTATAATATTTAATACGTAAATAAATATCAAATTTGTGTTTTCAATTATATTTTTAGAAGTATGAATTTGCATAAAGATCCGCAGTCTAATTATCGTAATGATATTCTAATAACTGATTTTTCGATTTTATATTTTACATTAAGTTAATATTTCTGTTAATAACCATATCGATTTTATTCTTGATCGCAATGACTTCAATGACAAAAATCAATTGTATTTAGAAGTGAATGAATATATCATAATGTTATTGTAAGACTATTTACAATATTAAAGAAATTATTGTTGAAATTTATTAATATTAATAGTAAAACTTATTATTAATGTATTTCTTCTTAATAGTTTCATTATATTGCTATTAAAGATCAATGCAACATTTTATTTACAATTTTTTCAATCAATTTCATTATCAAATTCTGTTTTTCCATACCTCACTTAGGTCTATAAAAGAAAATTCCAATTCACTTAATATTTCCTCATCATTATACCGTGATGTAAATTCTATAATTTTATGAAATATCGATAAATTGAAATATCTACAATATTATGGTAAATTATATCGTTTAGTCTTTAATTGGTTAACACAATCTGAATTTTGTATTAGTACGGAATATACTGAATATGTGTTCTACTCGTAAAGAACATAAGCACTCTGAGGCTTGCATTCAACAGTATAATTATGACAACCATGTCAATTACCAAAATTATCGCGAGACATCTCGCTTTACAACGTCATTTATATGACATCATGAACAAGATATCATTGATAATAATTCGATTTCACTACCACTGAAGCATGGCTATTTCGTGAAAATTGTATGCTATTTCGTATGTATAGTTACTCACATTCGGACACTTAAATATTTGGACATTAAGTACATAAACTGTTACAATTTCGTAAAATAAAATCGTACAAAATGCACTCATTTTATTCTAAGATGTTTCTACATTACGTAGGAAAGTGAAGACACTTCTTTTCTTTTGAAAATGTTGTAAATTGTCATAGCATATAGAAACATTGAAAAATATTTTTCATAACTAAATCTACAACAGATTTAAAGATTAAAGACTTCCCTTTATAATGGCTCTCTAAAATTTGAGGTACAATCTTTTTTCGCCATTTTATTGAACTTTGAATCAGGGTTACTAAGCTTAGACGATCGATATTCTCATCGTTATATTCGTTTTTACTTGATATTCAAAATTTAATAAAACGGCGAAAAAAGTATATCAATGTATTTCGGGATCTCTATAAAATATTGTGTGACAGACAAAAGAGAATTTAAGAAATAAATGATACAAAGACATACCATATTTTTAGAATATAGAAGAGCAACAAATAATTCTAAAGTATATCTTCAGATTAAATTACGATTGCTAATATAATAAAAAATATAATATATAATAGACTATTGATGTTCAAAGTGCTTCTATTGTAAACATATATTTATTCTTATTTACATTCCTAATTATATACATAATATAATCATAGTAATCATGTTAAATAAAATAATGAATAATCATGATTACTGTAATAAAAATTTTAAATGTTTTATACAATAATATTAATTGAATTTACTAATATAATCGTGATAAAATTGAGTACAAATAATGTTACATAGTATATTCATAAAAAATTTACATATGTGTTTAAATACTTTCGTGAGAAACGATATCTTATTCAGAATGTCTTATAAATAATTCTATAAGAATTAATGAAAAGTATCAAATTGTTTTCTGAATGTAACGACGATCGAATTGTTGAATAAAAATAAAAAGACATACCTAAAACTAAAGTAGGCCAGTTCTCCATACGAGAAATGAGACCTTTCAGGAAGATCTGGTGAAGGAATAATACTGTTTCGCTATTCAAAAATATGCTATTCACATCCTCGTGATTACAAGGGGGTTTCTTTGAACTAGCGGCCATCTTAAAAGGCCTCAAGAAACAGCTCACTAATATCTCCATTTGTTCTGTATACTCTTCTTCAGTTTCCACCATTTGAAACACTAAGCTGAAATTAAGAAAATTCATTCTGTCTTTTTCTTTTTGCCTTGCAAGCAGAAGATAAATATATAAAAGAATTAAATAGAAGTATTTTAAATTAATTTAAATAGAGAATCTTGGAACAAGTATTATACTTGTTTCAAGATTAAAAAAAATTAACTAATACTCTAAATGAATTGTATTGTAAAAATATAGTGATTCCTAGGAATCCTTGGAATCTAAACATAATTCATTTCAGAAAATACCTTGACTTTCGAGTTAAATTTTCCCATAAGAAATAATGTAAAATAAATTAATTTTAAAGTTGGATAACAATATTATAGAAATTCTCCGAATGATCTATAATACCTTGACTTTCGAGTTAAATTTTCCCATAAGAAATAATGTAAAATAAATTAATTTTAAAGTTGGATAACAATATTATAGAAATTCTCCGAATGATCTATAATACCTTGACTTTCGAGTTAAATTTTCCCATAAGAAATAATGTAAAATAAATTAATTTTAAAGTTGGATAACAATATTATAGAAATTCTCCGAATGATCTATAATAATACTGAAATTGATCGTTAATCAGCATATAAAGAATATCAAATATAAAAGTACAGATAAATAATATTCTATGTACACTACTTATTGAAGTAAAACTTGCTATCTGAAATTATTTTGCTTTACTACCTCAAAAGATGGTGTTCTATTCTCTTTGTTCCTTTCTCTAATCAAATATTTGTTATTAGAAAATATGTCTCTTGGCAGAGTATTTAGGTAATCAAATAAGTACACAAACAGATAAGTACACAAAATCAATGTAGCAAATTTCATGAAAATTAATATGTAAAATAATAAAACAAAGTCGAAAATAAATAGAATAATAAAATAAATAAAATAAAATAAAGTGATATTTAATACAAATACAAGTACACATGAAATGTAAGTATCGTATGAACTTTTTAAACTAATAATTGCATAATCAATATGTTAATATTAAATTGCTATTTAATAATTAAATATCACACGATATTCCGCAAGTATTGTTGTTGATATTATAAAACAACAAATTTGATAAAAGTTAATTCAATACTAATGAAATTAAAATCAAATAAAAAATGAATAAAAGTTTATTTTATTCATTTCAAAAAAATATATAATACAAATAAAAATTGAGTGTATTAATCTTACTAATAAATTCTATGGCAATCAACGTGTAAAATAATAAATCAAAATAATAATAATGACGCTGTAATTACTTGTCAAAACGAACAGTTACAGTACAATCAACGTATTAATAATAAATCTTTAATTAATGATTAAATGTCATTCAATATTCCGCAAATTAACATTATAGAACATTATAGAAACAAACATAATTAATAGAAATCAGTTAAATATTAAATAATTTATAATATTAATAAAATTAAATATTATGAAAATTTTATTAATTTTATCAATAAATTCCATGGCGGCTAACGAATGAAATGAAATAGTAATGAAGCCATATACTTCTTGAAACGAGTAATTATTACATAATAGCGCGTTATATTAATTATACATCCATTTAACAGTTAAATGTTATTCAATGTTATTCGCAAATATTATTATCGATATTTCACAGATACATATTCACGTTGCAGTACGCTTATTAAACTGAAATTGTTATTGATGCAATTGTTCCAGTTAGTAATACAGAATCACAAGTGAATCAATTTTAACGTACATCTGTTTCAAAAAATTAATGCATGTATAATTACCATATAATATTCATTTAATAAACGTTAAATTAATACAATTAAACCAGTTAATTAATAATTAATTTGTATTTTTTTCTCTCTAAAATAATGCGAATATTTAACAGAGTATGTAGTATGATGTTCTCTTAATTCTTTAATTCATTATTACATTACCTTTCATTATCAGTTTTACACAAAATATTTTACATTAAATTTTACGTATTTAGTTTCGAATGAGCTAAAATATAGCACTGACTTGTCTAAGAATTTTAACATTCGAAAGTTTAGTCACTATTATAGGAAATTAATACAAACGATATTTATTATTCGAGTGCCTTGATTTACAGTGGATCGAAAAATATTAGCGAACCTACTTTTCTTGCAATATTTAGTGAAAACAAATGATACATTAGCAAAATTGTTCAGAAATAATTTATTATATACAAAAGGAATGTGCAATTTCTAATAATAAGTTATACAATAACGTTACAATATAAAAATTCGAGAATCATAAACATATTGATACACGATGGCTTCTTTTCTACAGCACTACCACGTATTTGAATTCAGAATATTAAATATTTTTAATGGTTTAAAAACAAACATTCTCTCCTAATGTTAACACGATGTAGCACGCGATATCATTCGCGAGAATATTCCAATATTTGCAAAATATTTTTTTTTAATAACATTCAGTGCAAACTAAGCACTGGAATCACAAATATATTAATACCTTTTCGATTCTCGAATCCTGTATTATTATTATATAACTCGTTATTGGAAGTTGCTGTTGTGCAGATTACTTTTGTATATAGTGAGTTATTTATGGAAATAAATTTTGTTAATATATCGTTTGTTTTTATAAAGATATTGCCAAAAAATTAATATTTTTTCAATTAACTGCATGTACGTCTGGGGACTAGCGCAATTTTTGAAGAGAAATAATTTATATACCAGAAAAAGAACTAAAGCCTTGACTCACTGAAGGGTCGAATTACTCGAAAGTTATGTCCTTGGGAATTTTAATAGCGTACAGCGTGCCATGAAGCATCCTTTGAGGGAAAGGATCTCGAAAATATTTAAATCCGTTCCGCGCGAATTTGTCTCCATCTCGAGGCTCAAGAATCTCCGAAGACGGTGGAAAGAGAAACGAGGGAGTTTTCCTCAATTTTTCATTGGCTCAGAATAGTTGAGAAATCGTCTGACTCCGGTAAAGAACAGTTCGCTTATAGTTTAGAAATAGTTTGGCCTCCGATCGAGATAGTTCGACTTCCGAGCATTCTTTGACAGTCTAAGTGTTATTGCGTCAAGTTGAAGGGATAATCTCTTGATAATCAGCACGCAGCAAATAATACAATTCATTTTGTTATGAAACCACGGTTTTCAACCGGTTTTGCGTATCGTAATAAACCAACGCACCGCGTGCAAACATTTACATTGACTTATTTGATTTACGAGAATAAGTAATTCGATCGCTACTGATTTATGATTGAGTAAACTATTCAACAGCTAATTTTGTCGTGTCTAACATTTTACTTAATATTTGCATGATTCTACATTTATTACTTTACTCTATTAATTTAGCTTATGTTATCGTTGGCTAAAATAGTTATCGTTTGTTCATTGGTAGATTATATTTAGTACATTATTTGATAATTGGTTTGTTGTTACTTGATTAATGTTACTCTAGTGTAAATACAGAGAAATGGGTCAGACAAGGGCGAGTGTTGATCATGAATACAACCAATATAATTAGTCGTGTAATAAATAGACATCAACTGAATATAAGTCTCTCCCTGAGATTATAATCTGATGAACAAAGAATCGATCCTAAAACAATCACAATACACCTAAAACAATCTAATCTGTATAATAAATTGTAAGACTTAGTTTCAAGCCGCTAATAACCCATATAAGTGGTTGATACAACTTTAAATAATGAATTAAAAAAAAGATTTATTTTGATTATAATTTTAACAATAAGAAGAAAATATTTAAATAATTGTATAGTAGATTTCGCGATCTTTTTTGTTTTCCAACAAACAATTATAAAAAATATCATCGTTTCTTCAAAATTTACAAATCTTTGACCTAAATAAATTAGTATCTATAATTTGTTAAAAATTCTTTTTTTTTTTCATTAAATATTTAAAATCTGCAGCTATGTGTAAATCTCCATTCTATGGGATTTTCTACTTTAAAAAATCTCTGATATGTACAAAAGTCCGCAATCTAGTCATAATATTGTTCTAGAATTTCTAGCATCGTTATTATTTTAACTAATTGATCGTACTTAATGTTACGAGCGGTTACCAAATAAAATTTGAATAAACAGAGGAAGTAATTCTTACCTATTCCGCTTACGCATACTCTCAGCATGAGGGCTTTTAATGTATTGCTCGACGATCTGTTTCCAGCGCCTGCGGCACAGCCATCCTCTCAAGAAGCTCTGAACCTTTTTAATTTTCTGCACCTCGGCCTCGGTAATATTTCGTATTCCAAACGACGTAACTACGGAATCGTGTTCGTCGGATCCATAAAGAGATCCTGACATGTATAAACTGCCAGTACCATGGGACATGGTCCTTTGAACTCTCGGCTTTCCTGTATACGATGAAGCTACAGGCCTCAACTCTTTTTTCAAGGCACACAACTGAAAAAAAGAAATAAATCGTGGAATGCAAAGAAATTCGAGGATTAACGTTTCCTCGTTGATCAAATTGGCAGAATTTTACTATTATAGATAAAAAAACTTGAATGAAAATTATTTATATCCTGATGATACTTTCTAATCCTTCATAGGTCCTGTGCGAAATTTTGTTCGTGAATTTTTCGGAGTAAATTTATTTTTCTTCCTCCGAGGATTCATCTTTCGAAAATTTAACTTAACCCCGAGGTTCTTGAATTTTTATATTATTTTAGTTTTATATTTGTTTTAGCAAAAAGATTTATAATTATTTTAAAAAGATGATAAAATTTGATCGAGAAATCGCATATTGCATATCAATAAGTATATATAGTCATATTTTATAGTTCGTTTGAACATGAGATATGTTTTAGTTTTTGAGAAATGTAGGTGGGTCGAAAATAGAACCGAAAAGACGGAGCAGAGTTAGAACCTGATTGTAGAATTAAATAAATTGAAATTTTTTTGCTTCTCTTAAAAGCCTGAGACAGTAAAAAAGATTAACCGCGAACGACTCAACTCCTGTGAAAAATGCGGTAAAAGTTAAAAGCACCGCTTCATATAAACTATTATATCTAGACTGCGAATTTTTATGTATTTATAGAGAGTTTAGAAGTATGAAAATCCATTGAATACGCTTAATAAAAATATCCAAAGAAAGTATCTGTTATGATATTTAATAATTAAAAGAAATCTTTGCTTAGATTCTACTTTTTTTAATTATTTTCATAAGAATATAATCTTACACAAAAATCTGCAGTCTACTTAATCAATTCAGTGTAACAACAATTCCTCAGGATACTCAAAAGGGTATATAAAATAAACATTTGTAAATCGCGAGAATGTTTGCATGTTTCTGCTTTGTGTAATACTACGTCTTATTTTCTTCAGTTTATCATATAAAACGCAATACAACAGAGATTATTTAAATATTTAAAAAACATCTGTTTTTTAAATATCTTAATATTCAAATGTTATATTCGATTGCGAACTATTATGCATTTGTATAAAATTTCAATATCATGAAAATCTTCAGAATGAATATAGATATAATATAAATTGCAAAAATAGGTGAGATATTTCAAGTAAAGTGCACATTATAATATTTAATAGGTAAAAAAAGTCTTAATTTAGATTCCACTTCTTTAATTATCTTAAATATGTTTAAAAGAATGTAAATTTGCATAAACATCTGCAGTCGAGTTATAACATTCAAATGTTAAGAATATTTGAAAAAGCTCTGCTCTAATTATTAGAAAATTCTTCTGTATGTAATACAATATGATAAAAATCATCTAATCATACAAAAATTTAATAAAATGTCATAAGAGTTGTCAATGACACGAAGGATTAACTAGAAAATATATCATTATTTTATTTATTATATACAAAGAAAGTGTTCAATATTTTTTCAAACGTTAAACATTGAATTCACTCTTATCATTTTGGTGATGTAGTTTTTGTCGTCGATACGAACCACTTCGAGCCACCACTAAAAAGTAGTGTATGAGTTGTTTATTCCACCGACAGCAAAACCATCGTTTCGTGATTGCGATGTGATTTTCAGACAATAGTCTGTTTCAATTCACGTCGTGATTTAGAGATGTCTATCGTTATTAAAAATTAAGAATGACTTAATTTTAATTTGAGCTTGAATAGTTAATAAAATTTACTATCAAACTATGTTCAAATCTTTCAATTTTACCAAAGATATGTAAATTATTGAAAATTGAGAGTGGCCTAATTTTATACTCAAGTTTAATAATTAATAAAATATATTATCAAATTATGTTTAAATCCTTCAATTTTACCCCAAAAAATGTTGTTAAAAACTTAGAATAATTTGATTTTTACCTTAATTTTAGTAATTTAACTTTAATAATTAATCAAATATATCAGATCCTTCAATTTTATTAAAAACATGAATTAGAGTAATCATAATTTAATAGCTAGCAATTCTATAAACCTATCAAATCATATAGTCTCTCGAATCAATTTGAGATCGCAACAACAAAAGTTATTCACCATGCATCAAGCTTAAATGATCAAAAATTTATGAAAATTTTGTAAAATGAACATTTAATCATTCGATCTCGCGAAGAGTATTTTAAAATTAATTTTTTGAAATTTCCTTATAATTACTATTAGCTTATAATATTAACTCCAATTCTCTTGCGCAAAGATTCGTCGAATATAATTCTCAACTTACTTCTGCTCGGAGCTTCTTTATTTCTGACATAAGCTCCTCGCATTGCTGTGTATACTGCCACTTAGCTGTCTTCTCGCTCTCGACAATCTGCAACAGGTGTAGATGCTTTTGCTCGAGCTCCTCCTTTTGCAATCGCAATTTGTTGAAACTGCAATCAATAAGCAAGTTGATGACGATGAAACAGACACATCTCTCTCCGTGCTTACGTTTTAATTGCATCAAAACACATCGCGATATCAGTCGACTATAAAATTTCAATACAACACTGATTATCGAGCTCCAACAATTCAATTATACAGGGGAATTCAGATTTACACAATATACGATTACTGTGAATCACGTTGAAACACGAAATTGCACGTGCATTTGGACGTGATAAAACATAACGATTTGAAACAGTACATTACCTCAAGTATTATTATTTTTAATTTAGATTTCGTTTGAAAAAAAATAATAAAACAATTTAGAGATAAAATATTTTTATATTTAAATAAACGAATCTCTTCTTTAAATATATGTATTTTTTGAATATTATCTAGGCTTGATCATAAATGAAAAGTTGACATTTATGCACATTATTACCTATTTATTTTCCTTCTTTTTCATGAAAATTTATATTATATTTCAGAATGGTATTTTATTTCACTTAATGTATCTCGTTAAAAATGATTTTATGGATAAATTAATTGTAACATAAATGTCTTAAAAATTTGAACAAAACATAAATTGTTCATACATTTTTTTAAAAATAAAAATATTATAACGGTAGTTTTCATTTTTACATATAATTAATTACATTCTTAGAGGCAAGAAAGATTTTTTCAAATAAAACAAAAATATTCAGTATAAAAATATAAAATATTAAAAGTACTAGTATTCTATTACCTATAAAATATTAAAAGTACTAGTATTCTCAACTCAAAAGTACTAGTTTTTAATTTTTTAATATTGTATTTAATATTATAAATTTGAATATTGCAATATCTTGATTACATATAAAAAGTATTTAACTTCTAAATATAATTTTTGTCACTAGACAAAGTGACGCCATTTTTACATCATACAATATGATTGACAATACAATTTATATAAAAGAATAATAGATATTATAAATATTTATTTAATTAAGAACGTCGTTGTTTTGAATTCTAGTGCACTCCAATTTTTTGAGGGGCAATGTGAATGAACTTTATAAATTAGGAATAATTTCAAAAAATAAAGCGCCGTCGTTTCAAGTAATATTAGACTGAAATTGATCAGGCAACGGAGTCTGATGATTAAGCGTTCTATACTATTAATTATTATTATTTACTATTTGCTATTATAATTATTATTTATTTATCACTTTTTAAAATTTTAGTGTGATATATAGAAATATTTTGAATTTTCTGGATTTTGGATATATGTATATATAAATATTAATATCTATCCAAAATTCAGAAAATTCAAAATATGATATGTCTAAATATATTAAATGTATTTATAATATTTATATATATATAAAATTTAAACCTTAAATTATACTTTTATTTTATTCAATTACTTTCGTTTTATTCAATTTCAACGTGTTTTCGAAATTGTATTTCATTTCATTTCTATCTTTTTCCTGGGAATTATTTTTTTCCCACGTATCGCGGTGGTTTCAAATCTGTTAAAATTTTCAAAGTTAACAACATGCCATTTTCAATCATTTCGAATTAATACACTCTTCAAATATTTTTATTTTCGCAATCATCTCGATGATTCGTACAAAAAGCAATATCCAGATTGCGGATTTTTATGCATTTATAGAAAACGTAAAAAATGAAAAAATACATAAAATGTCCAAAATAGAATATCTCACAATCAGTTTTTTTAAATTGTGTTCATTAAAACTTAAAAATACATGAAAATCTGCATTTCGGTAATATCAGAGAAATAAAATTGTTAATCACCTTTCCCGTGTATATACATGTTTATGAATTTAGGTATGATCACCATTTTCGAATAACTTTTTGAAAATTTCAAACAAAACCCATTATTGATAGATGGATTTCGATCCTCTCAAATAACGCTTTGTCTTCGAGATTAAAATATTTTTAATTTCTTTAACATTAAAATATTTTATGTACATGTGCAAATAACTTCAATTTTCGAGTGTTCTCTCTCTCTCTCTCTCTCTCTTTCTCTCTCTCTCCCACCAGCTCCAATTCGATCGATAGTTGCTAGTCTGTGACACTGAAGTCAACTTGAGAACAACTATCGCAAAAACATGCTATTCCCTAAAGTAATATGAAAGTACGACTACGATATGTACCGAACTGCAAGATGCTACCAATTAGAGAGACCATTAACTCACAAGGGGGTACGTACGGTGGCTCGCGAAAGTATTCAAACATTTATCACAAAACTTTTACAATTTATGGACAAACTAAAGAGTTTTACGCATTTAAGGAAATTTTGAAGATGTAAAAATGTAGAAAATGCACGCAATGTACAGTGTACAATAAATAAAACACAGAAAATACAGTATTTTTTTAATAACTTTACATCTTTGTTATAATTTTCCTGTGGATTTTTTTGCAAGTTCGTATGTTCTTGAAAATAATTAAAAAATTGAGAGTTTATAATAGATATCGCATTTTGGTTATTTTATTATTTTATTATTTTTGTGTATTGTGTGAATGGCATACATTTTTGTACTCTTAAATTTTTCATAAATTTATAAAAATCTTCGATTAAATAATAATATCAAGAAAACGAAATTAGGCTTCATTTTTTTAATTGCGGTCATAAAAATATAAAATTGTATAAAGATTCACATATAATCTAACAATTATCAACAATTATGTTAATAACATAATTTTGAGAAACACAAAAATCTAGACATGTAAAATTTTAAATATTCAAAAAAGAAAATGAAAGGTTCTAGACATTTTCCGGGTCTGAATTAATCTGTAAATTAGAATTACTTTTAAAATAGTGTATGTTATACAAATCATGAATATAATATTCATAAATTTCATTAATAATCGTTTCATTTCGATAAAAGAACAGTCAGAAACAATGATCGAAAGAAGAAAAAAACAATTGATGTACTATATTAATGACACATGCAGAGAACGTCGTGCTTACTTAACACATTTTGAGACATTGATCATGTTTGTCACATAGACAAAACCATTAAATCATTAACTTAAAAGAAGCAAGTGATCTATAAGCTAAAAATTTATCCTATCCGTCCAAGCTGTGCAAATAATATAAAAAGATAATTTCGCTGCTCATTTTTCAGAAAAAACGAAAGACCAACGCATGAGAAATTATCGTTCCATAATTCACTTCCTCGTCTATTGCACGCTGTCGAGATCTATTTTTTCCTAATATCTTAAGAAGCTTCGATTTTAACCAGTGATTGTTAAATGTTTTTTTTTTTATCGTGCATCGTATATCGAGATATTATTTTTATACTATAATTTTTTTCATTCTAAATAAATCCCATATTTTATTTTCTTCTGTTTGTTATTTTCATGTATTCTAAAATATTCTATTTTATGATATAATGGTAGATTATATGAATTTACTTTTATGAAATGAAAATTCAACAGAATCTTGTACTAATTCGTTTAAATTCGTTTAATTACCAACGAACAAAGTATGAAACTAGTTTCAGAAACATGCAAAAAACAGGCAGGAGTCCATAATAAAAGAAAGAACACAAAGTTTCTTACACAATGGTAAAAGATAAGAAACAAAGAAATAAAAGAGAAATAGGAAGAACTTTATAATAAGATAAAAAAACAAACTTTTATTTAATTCTAGAAATGTCGTTAATTTATCAAAATATTATTATTCAGTTTTCCGATGTTCTCCGACGTTTTAGTTTAAAATAAAATATCTTTTTGGTTCTGCCATAATATCCTTATTTTCATCATATTCATTTCCAATTTATACATTACAAATTACATACGCAATAATTACCTAGCTTCTCGTATAGCATCGATCCACATTTTACAGTCGGTTTCTGTAGCTGCTTTTAACTCGTATTGCCGTTGATTCTCCCTTCTGTAGGAAATCACGAAACAGTGCTGAAACAAATCGTAATAAAAGTTTAATCGGCCGTAATTGACTAACAAGATCAAGCGTAGAAACGTGAAGATATATCACGTCCGAATTAAATAATAGGTTCGCGCTAGTAAAGGGATTTCAAGGGATTTTAATGGAAATTAAGTTATTTACTTGACTAATCTCAAGGATATTTAACTCTATTCTAATTGTGTAACTCTATTTTAAAAATATATACTCTAGCTCAATGATGTAGAAATTCTTTATTTATGTAGAAATGTTTTTCATTAGTTTATACTTGTTAAATTTTTATTTTTATTTTTTCTTGATTTTTTTTTTTAATTTTGTTTTGGCTTCAAAATATTCTAAAATATCTTATATTTTTTTGTTACTATGTAAAATTCTAATGACAAAAATAGTCGTTTATTACATAACAAGTGTACAATTGTCATAAGCAGTTGACAAGTTAAAAGATGAAATAAAAACCCTTGATATAATTATAATCGTTTTACTGAGAAATAGACCCAAGGGATCACAGCCGCAAGGGTCACAGCAATTTCGCATATTTGTTGAACAGTTTCAACAAATATCTGGGGTAAATATGCAAAACTGAGAGATGTGGACCGAATACAGACGTTAAATATATTCCAAGTGATCAGGTAGTATTCGTAATTGTGCATTTCGTCATACTGATTCAAGCGTTTAATTACAATCCTCGACATTGTACTCCGGGTATGTTGTCAAGCGTTTTGCACAAAGAGACAGAAAGAGAGAGGAAGAGAGAGAGCCGACCGTACCAGTACACGGTCAATTGTAAATGAAACCTCGGTGCGGTGGTAAACGATCGAAGGTGTGCACCACTAGTTCGAATAAAATTATACCAGCGCGTGTGTTCGAATCTCGAACGCCATCCTCAACTTTCAGCGACATGCGCAACAGTTTAAGTTGTTCGACTAATGCAGTTATTATATTCAGGTCAGCGAAATCGAGGTTAACGGAACTCTTGGCTAATTTAAGAATCTGTCGTTGCGAACTGCAAAATTTTAATATTATGCTTTCAGTTTTACTTTCTTTCCTTCTTTTTTTTTATCTTAAACTCATCAGTTTCAAAGGATTGCTTCGTTATTTTCGATCGAATCTAGGAACGATAAAAATTTTTGTTTCAGTTTATTTAAAAAATTTTAATAATCACGTGTATGAAAGATTCGCGCGTAAACAAAGAAAATATTTCCTGATGATATGTATATACAAAAAGAATGACTTTGTGCTTCCTACGCACAGGATGGTATTTTAAAATACATTTGTATTTTACAAAATTTACTTTGACACATATTTGCCATTGATTTGTTTATTAATTTCGTCGCAAAGTTCGAAGAAATTTCAAATAAAAGCACACGTTTTATGTAACTGAAGGATGTAATTGAATTAATATCACATTTGAAAATTTTGCATTTTATGAATATTTCATTAATTAATGTTTATTACTTTCAATATTAAAAGGAAATATACGTCATAATGTTGCAGCGAAAGAAGAATTTACATATAGATAATATACACATTGCGTATAAAATTTCCTCCTATAAAAAGTAAAAAAAAAGAACTAATTCTTTGTAGATTTCTCTTCGGTATGTTGAAAAAGATATTAGCAATCCCCAGTCAAATCCTTTTTCTCGATATTCTACGGATGACATTTAAATAAAACGTGAAATTGAAAAGAAAATTTGTTAAATCAAATTGTTATTTCCATCTGCAACGTTATTAATCGAATTAATAATACAATTATGAACCTTTAAGTACACAATTTTTTTTAAATGATCGATTTAAAATAACAATAATGTATTTTACTGAGTCTTGAATCCAAAAATTATAATATTGCTTATATTAATATATTTTTACAAAACTATCTTATCCACACACTCAATTTATTCACTCTCTTTCGAACTCCTATTTTCACTCTAGTTTATTGTAATATCTTATTTATTAAATATTTTCCTATTCTTTTAAATTCTCTTTGATCCTGTAAATTTGAAATTAAAAATTGATAATAGAATGTTGCATGTTTGCAACGATATGCATTTAAGGATGGCTAAACTGTATTTAGTTAGAATTTACAGTTAGCTAGTTGACTGGTTAGTTAGAAGTTAGAAGTTAGTTAATTACTTAGAAGTTAATTAGTTAGTTAAAATTTGTTAGTATTGAAATTTTCATAGCGTCAAAGACAAGATGGTGTTACATTTGATTTACTTTAGCCAAACAATAAATTCGAAATTATATTTGAAAAATTATTACCTTCTATTTTAATTAATCTTTAATAAATATCGAAATTGTCGTGACGTTGAAAACAGAATATCAAGTGAGAGTATTCAATTTGCATCTTAATCAAACGATTAAACTTATTAGTATGTCTCTTATTTAAAAAAATTTAAAAAATTATAATTAATATTCAATAAATATTGAAATTTTCGTGGCGTTAGAAGCAGAATTTTCACCCGTATCTTTTCTCATTTATATTCGAATTACAAATATACATTCGCGATACGAAACTAAATTATGTTCGAAAAATTATTATTATACATCAGACTGCGAATTTTTATGCATTCATAGAAAATTTCAAGCTACAAAATTGTATATAATGCACATAATATAAAAAAGTTTTAAAATACATATTCAAAAGTGCGATGCAATACAAAATACCGTTTTTTACCGAATTCTTTTCTTCATAAATTTTGTAAAAATATAAATTCAACTTCAAAATACAAAAATTCATGTCGAAAATATTTATTATAATATTTAGAAGATAAAGTTATTTATTATAATATTTAAAAGATAAGACAAATTTCTATCTCGATTTCATTTCTTCAGTTATGTTCACAAAAATATGAAAATGCATAAAAATCCGCAGTAATGTGATTAAATTCGCTCCAGTTTGTGATATTTGTTTAAAAAGGTACATTTCAATAAGAAAAACATGGTAAAGTTAACACGATAAATTTACGTAAGACATTCCTGAATTAATCGTACTTCTGAAAACGTCGAAATAAAGAAAGACGTTCAATAAATCTGTGACAGATCTGTCGTTGACATCAGTGCGTCTCGGTAGAGAAATACATCGGAACCAGAATTTCTTATTAATGAGTCTGCGAGTTAATGGAACGCCAGTAATCCATCACGTGGTTGTCGAACGCTTCTTTCTTCACCATGAAAACGCATATTAGATGTTATTTGCAGACAATTTGCTGTTAACTTCCGATACGAAACTTCCTCTCGAGGGAGGAAATGATTTTGTTGCTCTCGTTCGAGTTTCAATTCTTTTTTTTTTTTTTTTTTTGCTATGTCAATTAAGGTGGGAAAGTTTTATGATAGAATCTCTAGAGAAAAGCGGAAATAATTGTTTCACCTGGCTTGTTACGTCACTATTTTCACAGAGATACTGTTTCATCCTCGAATTTTCAGTTTCCCGCAGTTTATTCATACATTGCTTGCTTCGCTTTACGAAATAAATTTTTTTAACTGGGAAATTCGTCGACTTTAATGAGAAAAATGTTTTAGACTATTTTTAATTGGTTTGAAAAAAGGTTTGATAGATGTACTGGATGAAGCGGCATTTAAGACAAAGAATGAAATATTACAGAGAATATTTCACACATATTTAACAGTTGGACATTGCAGCTGTACATTTATATATTATTATTACAACATAGATAATAATAAAGATATAACACGATAAAATACGACAAGATCAATCGAGTCTTAACATTTCGCGTAGATTACAATATAATAGGAATACAATATAATAGGAAAACATTGGTCTGGCCAAATACACGAGGAATTGTAAATGGAATGGAACATTATCCAAAGCCTGTTTAAACTCTGAGGACGCGTTTCAGTCTTAAAATTTACGAGGAATAACGTACAGATATACTTATCTTATATATTCTCATTTCCACGAAAGAGAAACTATTAATAGTAATCATTGCTAAGGACATTGTTTATACTGCTATCTAACTAAAGAATAGATACTATGGGGATGAGTTCTGTCATGAATGAGCTGAGCTATCTGTTTAAATCATGTAAGTTTCTTCAAGATGAAGCATTGAAATGAAGTAAAATTTACATAGTGACTCGAAACGATATTAATTGAATCTGTAAATCGTCAACTGTGTAGATTTATTTTTAAAATGTACAGTCTTTGGTCATTGAATTAGGACCACTTACAATTTTCAAGCTATTAATAAAATATATATTGTTTCGAATGAAATTTAATCATAAATTTGATTAATTATCAGAATCTACACTTTTCATTTTAATTTTTCTTTCAAATAAATTTTAAAAATTGAAATCAGTTGATTATTTCTTCAATCACATATCTCTTAGAGGATATTTATAAAGTACTTACTTGTCACGTACAATATCATTTATATTAATGTATTATTTACTGATATGCATGTATATATGTAATACTTTAATAGTAATAGAATTTGTATGGTACAGCGAAAAAATATGTAGAAATTAACATATAGCAAAATATTAAATCAAATATGATGTACAAGTGCAATGTATCTAAATTATACATGATGCATTGAGATGATTATGTGTGCAAAGAAAAAATAAAATTTAATGCTTTTCGAGAGTTTGAAAATTTATCTTGTATAGCACTGAATTTGATCAATTTTTGACTAAACAGAGATGAATAATTGATGAAGATTATTCTATTTGCAAAAATAAATAGGAAACGTAGAATAAAGTTTTTTTCATAAAACGCTTCGTTCCCCAGAAAATTAAATATAAAACTTTGTCAGAAATTTATCGTGTACTAAACAAATTCATAACCTGAATGAAAACGAGACCTTGAATGGAAAAATTTAATTCCATATTTTTTACTAATTTTCAAACGTAGAGTAATCTTCTATTGATTATTTGTTTCTATTCATTCTGGTATTGATTAAATACATTTGATACATCTATAGATTCCATTTTTTTTTTTTTTCGATAACGAAGCCTTAAATGGAAAAATATTGTTTTT